TGCACACCTATAAAACTCCACGACGGTCGAATCAAACGATGGACCACATAGTAACACAACCACCCACTTCGATCATCAACTTGCATCAAGTCTGTTAAGGCTATATAAGCAGGATATTTGTCTTTTGTAAGTCTGTGGGTCTCTACATACATTTATGAATCTTCACGTGGGTCAATATCTCAAACCGCAGACCACATTGTACCGTCACCGCCAGCTTCGATCGATCATTCGACGGCAGAATTCCAGACGTTCACCACGAGGCTACTCCTGAAGCCATCCACTGGCTCACTCGCCAACCTCCACACAAACAAACGAATACCGCTGATCAACTCCCCATCATCGAAGAAGGAGGAGGAGACCCTCAAGCCAGAGAGGGGCAGGTGGACACCGGTAGAGTGGTGGATGCAGACGCCCGACCAGAAGACGCAGATGCACACAAGCAAATAACAATCACAACAAAAATAACAATGGCCATTTGTGACGCACGTGTCTGATCCATTCTCTCCTAAGGGCCATAACTGTTTTAAAAGCCAGCCCCGAGTCTTATCCTGTTTGCCCTGTAGTGAAATTTCCAGATGTGAAATTCTCAACAGATTCTCTTTCTCTCCTTCCCTGCCTCATGCTCCTGTTCCTCTTCCTGCCTGTTCCACCTCCCACATTTCTGCGCCATGGAAATCAAATAATTTACATCCCAGGAATGTTTACCCAAGTGCTCCGTGGGCATCAATACGTTTTATTATTTTGGAAGAAGTTTTTTTGTTTGTTTAATGGGTCTGAACTTCAATGTGAACTCTGGGGTAATATGTCACCTGTCCAGAAGTCCAATAAATGTAATTTAGAAAAATGATGTTCTGTCAAACCCTGGTTGTTTCAGATTCACGTGTTACAACTGCATTATTAACATCTACGAAACTCCATTGCGATGGGAATATCATACTTGTGCAACCATGGCAGCTGACAGCCGAGGAGATGTAGTGCCTTGATAGCGGTGGCATTAACTTCACGTGTATTTTCATGTATGTCAGTGAGGCAAGAATAATCAGAAGAAAACGTATGGATAACAATAAATTAAAGTCAAAAAGTGGGTTCCTCCCCGAGTTAGCTTTGAGACGGACAGTGCTCGTCTCTCGTTCACAGCCTTGAGCCAATGGTGGAAATTCCACATTCCTGTGGCAGCATCAAGTCTCTCCACGGGACAAACACTGTCCCAACGCATTTGTATCAACTACGGAGAGATGATGCGCTGAGCCAACACCCGGCCGGGCTTTGAACTTTCAACCTTCCGATTGTAATACCTTGTTTATATTAAATTTACTTATTAGATGTACACACTTCGACACAGCAAAGACATACATATATACATATTACACACCCGCCCGTCCCCCTCCCCCCGACATTCCACTCTGTTAGGCAGCATTGTTGTTATTCTGTTCGCGAGCGTGTTCGCTTGGAAGTGCGCCGTGTTGTGTTGCCTTCACAACACAGGAGTACGTCCCCCACCTCCCCACCCCACCACTAACCCCCCTCGCTTGGTAACGAGCCGCACGGAGGCCCGCGATAGTTGCGCCGTGGACCGGAGCGCCGCCGGAGCCGCCAGTTTTTGGAACATTTCCCCTGGCTTCGGTGCCACGGAGCGCACTTTCGGCATGTCCCGATCGGTGCCAGGGGAGGCCGCGGCTCCAACGTGCGTCAGGCAATTTAGTCGCGCGGCGCTGAGGGGTAGGGCTGAACGATTAACCGGTTTCAATTCGAAATCGCAATTTGAAACAATGCGATCAGCAAATCGCAAAGGCTGCGTTTTTCTTTGGGCGATTTGAAAAGTTCCTGTCACTTTCTTGTTGGAATTTGTTTTATTTTGTATTGTTATAACTTTATTTATTTGACTTAATTGTTCCGTGTTTGATTGTTCTATTTCAATTCAAACATTTTGACAAATACACGTTGGAAGCAATTCACATCTTTTAAGTTCTCATCCTTGCATTAGAATATATAGAGCGGTTCATATGGTTGATGGTATCACGTGGTAATGCTCCATCACACGTTTTAAATCTATTACACAGTGAATATTGAACTGAAGCTTGTAATCGCAATCGCAATATGTCAGAAAAATCGCAATTATATATTTTCCCCAAAGCGTTCAGCCCTCGTGCAGAGGGAGGTTACGTGTACGGCAACGGCGACTGGCTGGAACGACTCCCCGAGGCAATCGACCTTCACCCTTGCGACGGCGTATTTCGTGTTGGGGGAGGACGCGAACCCCAAAGCCTCGGAGCACTCTGCGTCAACTTTACACGAGTGTGTAAAGTTTAAGCGAATGAAACGCCTCGAGTGGTCGCAAGAGAAAGATTAAGAACGAGTAAGGTGTGGAAATTTCACGCCGAATTTAATGGGATGATGTCAATCTGTAAACTCTATGGTTCTTTACCGAGAGAACCAAGAACTAAAAAAATAATAAAAGATCGCGACGTTTCGATCGCGACACAAGCGGTGGTCCTCAGGCGGGAACAATATAATCCAGCAGTGGAGCTGCTGAACCAGGAAGAACAAATCGAGAGAGCTGTTACAGCAAGAGGTGAACTGCTGAACCGGCAGTTTTTATTTTTTTAATTTTTAATTTTTCTACCCACGTGACTTTACCGAAAGAACCAAAGGGTATGGATTCCTGCAGTCACGAAAGCTTCAAATCAATGTAAATCTGACTTAAAATATACAACGACGGAAGGAGCCCCCGTTGCAAATCGTGGCAGCTTATCACACATTTAGGGATAATAGCCCTGTAGACCCATAAAACAAACAAAAAATCTGTAATGCTGCAACAAAAACCCGACGTCAATTTCAAGGTGCTTTTCGGCCAATTTCCGAGTGTTTCTTCACGCCCATCACTGCCAGCCCACGGATCGCGATTGCACAGTTGAATAGCAGGGATATTAATGCAGGGCGGACGCAATTACGATGGCCACCATCCGTCCATTTCCAAACAAACGCTGCGATTCATGACAATTTCTCCGTCATATTGGGGGGGGGGCAAAGCCGTGCAGCGTACTGTGCATTTCGCTCGTCTGATTTGCCATTAGGGCTTTTTTCCGAAAGTGCCTCTGCTTTTCATACGGAAAAAAAAAACATTCATTACCGTTGCAGGGGAGCCGGGGCGCTTGAACGCACGGCAGACGATCACAAAAGTACATTTCCCAACCCTGAGCGACGCTTATTATTAGATGTGCACCTGAAAAGAAAAAAAATCCACACCATCATTTGCGATGTTTCACCAATTGGCTCGCTGCGGGCGATTGCTGCGGTGAAAACGCACGCAGCCTGGGAACCGGGAGATTCGCATTGAAATGTGGCTGCGATTCAGCTCGCCATCCTCGCCTGCCTGCAGCTGCCACGCACATTTGTTGTTCTGTCAACCCCGTGTTGAGCGTTCGATTGGAAAATGTTCCACATCTGGGAGCATTTCCGCCCCGGTTGAAACACAAACGGTTGTTCCAAAGCACCCTCTGATGTCTCCGTGGCGTTTTCCTCCGCTCAAACGGGCGTTGATGAGCCCACATTTTTATGGTGAAAATATTGTTTTTCCCATTGACAGCTGGATTGCATTACAGACCGTTCAAATTATCTCCAAAACAAGTTGTAAAGGGAATTCAATGTCATTCCAAGGGGATTATTTTTTGTGTCCATTCCACTTTTTTGGGAAAGAAAGTGATATGAAACTTCTGCTGTTGTCTGGGCTGCTTATGAAGTTTTCATTGCAACGCAAGTGCAGACTATCCATTGCACATGTTGTTGATTGTGTGGGCTTTCCTATCCCATCTAACAAGTCTGAGAATGACTACTAGCTCGAAATTGGACGAACATTTTTGAAGGGATTTGACGTTGGCAGTCGTGTGCAGGCGCAGCTCAAAAAGAAAACTCTCAGCAGATTCAAGCTCACTTGCCTCACAATGAGAAATATACACAGAGGCGGCCTGATGCTTTGTGCATCAGGCCTCTCTTCAGAGAAGAGCGAGATGGGGGCAGGTCAGGAGCCAGGGGGTGGGTGGAGATTAACAAACGAGATCACAGTTTATTTATACTGCGAGGCTTGGGTAGAACACGAACGAGAGTTTTGTAAGAAAGTCGATAATGAACAGTGTTTCCCAAGTTTTCTCAAGAAAGTCGATAATGAACAGTGTTCCCAAGTTTTCTCAAGGCCCCGCGGCATGAAAGACAATCTGCAAGTTGACGTCTATCGACCTCGTTGCTCCGCAAACTCTCTCCACCCTGATGAAGAGATATTGCCTGAAATCATCATCATCATCATCATCGTCGTCGTCGTCATCTTCATCTGACTGAAATATAATTCTGCTATTATAAGGGGGTGCTTATCTTGAGTCATTTTAAATCGCAGCTCTTTTTCCACGTCTAGTATGTTATAGAAATGAAAATAAGTACCCCCCCCCCCACCGACCCCCCCCCCCCAACCCCCCCCCCCAATAATGTTACCCTCGAGTGGTAACCACGGCGTAACGGAGTCGGCCAACTTGTCCTTCTGTGCGTGCCTTGGAACCATGGGAGATGTTATCGCCGCGGTTTATCGTGTTACTCCCATCGCTGGAGTCATTCAGGCAGCCTGCCCTACGGGGGTGGGGGGGGGGGGGTGCGGTGGGGAAGGTCAAACACGGCCCAGTCGGGTGGGCCGGACTGGCAAAATGAAACCACTTTTAAAATTTCCAGCTGCGAACGCTTTCGGCGTTAGCACCGGTGACGGTGATCGCAAACGCCAATGCCGTCAAAGCGGCCAAACGCAGTTCTAACTCAGCTCGCCGAGGGGGGCAGTGTGGGAAGGAAGGGGGCCCCCACAATTCCCGTGGATAGCTTTTCCCATCGCGTGGGGGTTCAGTTTCTGAAGGGCTTGTCACCGTTGCATGTGCTGGTTTCCATTGTAAAATGTAACCCCCGCTTGGGTTGAAGGTTTCGCAGGAGAATGAGCACTGATGATTTCGACGTGGTTTGTTTTGCAGGCGTGCCATGGCTGCTCTCCGGGGTCTAAATGTGACTGCAGCGGAGTGAAAGGAGACCGGGTAAGTGCTTTAGCTATAGTTGTTCTAAGCGGTTATTTGTTCAGCTAAATCAGTGTTGAGTTTCTCACTTGTAACGGAGCGGAACTCATCGCCGCAAGTGTTCGCGTAGTGCGTTTTTTACGGGTGTAACCTGTGTGTGCATGTGTGCCTGCGCTAACATATTTTCTGGAATACCGTGAATTTGACTGACCTTCGTTTTGACCTCGGGACCTTTGCCAAGCTCGGTGGAGATTTACCACGCTCAGTGTCGCAATCATGACCCACGGGCTATGTTGACCTGCAGCCACCCGTGCAGCTGTAGTGACGGTTATCAGCTATCGTACTCTACACGAGAAAAAAATTCCCCCGTAACAGATTGTTGGGGCAAGTGCTGTTAGAGAGCACCTACGACGGCCGGCACGACATACGAGGGGTGGGCGGCCAGCACTATGCCCGGTCGTCTTTGTCTCCACAGTGGCCATGTTTTACACACCACACCAGGTACTCAATTGCGGCTGAGTCGACCAGAAGCTAACACACACACACACACGTATATACAGTGAGGGAAACAAGTATTTGATCCCTTGCTGATTTTGCACGTTTGCCCACTGACAAGAAATGATCAGTCTAACATTTTAATGGTAGGTTTATTTGAACAGTGAGAGAGAATAACAACAACAAAATCCAGAAAAACGCATGTCAAATATGTTATAAATTGATTTGCATTTTAATGAGGGAATAAGTATTTGACCCCCTCCACATCAGAAAGATTTCTGGCTCCCAGGTGTATTTTATACAGGTAACGAGCTGAGATTAGGAGCACACTCTTAAAGGGAGTGCTCCTAATCTAAGCTTGTTACTGTATAAAAGACATCTGTCCACAGAAGCAATCAATCAATCAGATTCCAAAACTCTCCACCATGGCCAAGACCAAAGAGCTCTCCAAGGATATCAGGGACAAGATTGTAGACCTACACAAGGCTGGAATGAGCTACAAGACCATTGCCAAGCAGCTTGGTGAGAAGGTGACAACAGTTGGTGCGATTATTCGCAAATGGAAGAAACACAAAAGAACTGTCAATCTCCCTCGGCCTCCATGCAAGATCTCACCTCGTGGAGTTGCAATGATCATGAGAACGGTGAGGAATCAGCCCAAAACTACACGGGAGGATCTTGTCAATGATCTCAAGGCAGCTGGAACCATAGTCACCAAGAAAACAATTGGTAACACACTACGCCCTGAAGGACTGAAATCTTGCAGCGCCCGCAAGGTCCCCCTGCTCAAGAAAGCACATATACATGCCCGTCTGAAGTTTGCCAATCAACATCTGAATGATTCAGAGGTCAACTGGGTGAAAGTGTTGTGGTCAGATGAGACCAAAATGGAGCTCTTTGGCATCAATTCAACTCGCCTTGTTTGGAGGAGGAGGAATGCTGCCTATGACCCCAAGAACACCATCCCCACCGTCAAACATGGAGGTGGAAACATTATGCTTTGGGGGTGTTTTTCTGCTAAGGGGACAGGACAACTTCACCGCATCAAAGGGACGATGGACGGGACCATGTACCGTCAAATCTTGGGTGAGAACCTCCTTCCCTCAGCCAGGGCATGGAAAATGGGTCGTGGATGGGTATTCCAGCATGACAATGACCCAAAACACACGGCCAAGGCAACAAAGGAGTGGCTCAAGAAGAAGCACAGTGAGGTCCTGGAGTGGCCTAGCCAGTCTCCAGACCTTAATCCCATAGACAATCTGTGGAGGGAGCTGAAGGTTCGGGTTGCCAAACGTCAGCCTCGAAACCTTAATGACTTGGAGAAGATCTGCAAAGAGGAGTGGGACAAAAACCCTCCCTGAGATGTGTGCAAAACCTGGTGGCCAACTACAAGAAACGTCTGACCTCTGTGATTGCTAACAAGGGTTTTGCCACCAAGTACTAAGTCATGTTTTGCAGAGGGTCAAATACTTATTTCCCTCATTAAAATGCAAATCAATGTATAACATTTTTGACATGCGTTTTTCTGGATTTTTTTGTTATTCTGTTTCTCACTGTTCAAATAAACCTACCATTAAAATTATAGACTGATCATTTCTTTGTCAATGGGCAAACGTACAAAATCAGCAGGGGATCAAATACTTTTTTTCCCTCACTGTATATACTACTATGTAGTAGCATCTTCACCCGGATAATATAACAGTTATCCCAGCATTGTTTGCATGTCAAGATCACGTTGCCTATCTGTATTTAAATGAATGACATCGGCTCGATGACGGTATTAGTTGTGTTGAAGGTAACGTGAAAACGCATAGCCGTTGGCTCCAGCGCAAGAAGGGGGTTACCGTCTCTCACCCATCCCAGCATCGTTTGCACATCAGGATCATCTCCTTTGCGAATGGTAAATTAAAGATAAAGCCACATTCATCTTGATTTGAAGCTTTCGTGACTGCCGGAATCCATACTCTTTGGTTCTTTCGTTAAAGTCACATAGGTAAAACAATTTTTTTTCTACCTACGTGACTTTACCGAAAGAATCAAAAAGTACAAAGCCAAATTGCAGCCCAAACTGTGGACCGTAGAGTAAACCCACTTCGGTCTGCACCTTCAATGGAGGAGGAGGAAGAACAAAACGACATTAACTCTCTCTCTCTCTCTGCTGAAGCTCTCTCGCTGTGGCGAGCAGCAAGCCAGACCTCGACCATGGGAATTCATCTCACGATCGTGGGCAGTATTGCCGTACGTAAGAAGAAGCCAGACACACGGAGATAGATAGAGACCCATAGAGATACCTAGCTACTCATCGGAACACATTCAAGACAAACCACAGGAATGCGATTTGTGGCCATACAACCAAACTATGGACCGCACAGGAAACCCACTGTGATCCTGCACTCCTTCAACGCAGGAGGAGGAACAGCAAAACGACATGAACTCTCTCTCTCTCTCTGCTTAAGCCCTCTCGTTGTGGCCAGCAGCAAGACCTCGACATTAGGATTTAGCTCCTAAGCAGAGTAGAATAGACTAAAATCGTCTATCTTAGACAACTTCGTTGCGTATATGCTATCATTTGTTTCTTTCGTGTACACATTTTTGTTTCTGGCTGTTGATGTGCCTATTCAGAGAGAGAGAGAAAACTTCTTGAATTGACATCATCAATAGCAGCTGTTGTACGCATGCAGCCCATACAAAAGTTCTAATATCACTTGACCGCTATCCTGCCTCTTGCTCAGATACGATAGCTTAGTTAAATTTGTTACAGGATTGTGTTGCCGTGTGCCGAGCTAGAACAGTGAACATCACGTCCCTGCTTTTATCGCCAGTGCTGTTGGAGGTTAATTGAAGAGGCTGGCTGCTGTTTAAAAAAAAGCGTTACAGAGGCTTCTGGTTGTGTGTGTGTGGTGCATGCGCGCGTATTGGAAAAACGTCTGGGATTCAGATTTAACGCAAGCCTGCCAAGGCGCATAAAAAAAACACAGGAAAGCTATACGTGCAGCACGTAAACCCTGACTGTAGGCCTGCTGCAGACAACACAAGGCCGGACGAGTAAAAAGAAAAAAAAGCAAAATTTAAAGCGAAAAAAGGATTAAAAGATTTGCCAAAACATTTTTTTAGCTCAAACCGCAGGATTTTCTAAATGGTGCAATTACACGCGCGCCTGCACCGCCTAACTGCGGCAATTCACTTCACGTCGTTCCTGCGATAACAGTCGGGTGTTCGCGAGAAATTCAAAGGCACGGCCGTGCTATCCGGCAAAAAATCAAAAAAATTCGTATATTTTCGTCTCAAGTCCCCAGAGCACCGGGGGTGGAGGGGGGAGCGGGTGGGGGGGGGGGGATGGGTGGGAGTGAGGGGGGCGGGGGTGAGGGGAACCAGCGCAGGTGGGCGCGCAATGCGCCCCACCAAGTTTACCCACCGCTTTGTGATGGGTGCTCTTGGGGAGTTGGCGAAGCCAACGCCCTTGGCATGGAACGCGCATAGGCACAGTGCGACGCTGTGCATTGAGCGCATTTGCAGATGTGTGTGGTTGAAGATCAGGCGACGGGAAGCGAGTTCTGCGACCGAAGGACACAGCGCTCTGCATCTGATGACCCCCCCAACTGTGCTCCACCCGGAAGACTCCCATCGCGCAGCGCCGATCGGTTTTTAAAGGATAGGTGAAACACTCAACGCGTCCGTAAATGACGCTGCCCTATAGGGGAGGGCCTGTCTTCGTAGCTTGTGAGGACGGGCCCATCGTCCTAAACGTCACCTGTGACAGATGTTACGTATTTTAAGGCCGCGTTGTTATTGACGAATGCGTTTGAGTTGTTGTTGTTGATTGTGCTCGTGCACCACCACCAACGCAGCGGCGGTGGCAGCGCCAGCATTTCCAAATGATTAGCTCAGCGATTTGTTGTTGGGGCATTGAAACGAGTCATCATCGCGACCTGTAGAATGTAAAAATTTAAGCACGAGTAATATCCTAATCTGGGCGAAAATGGACGTCATTACGTTTAAGTCCCTCAGAATGAATTTTAAACAACGGAATCAACGTACTGTTACCCACCCACACCGTTCATCGAGTTTGGTTCGATCTCCAATGGGAAACGGCGTAAAGGACAAACGCAGAAGGTCATGGGGGGTGCGGAACAGATATCGGATAACCCGAGTTCTAACCCCCCCCCCTCCCGCAGTCCTCCACAAAAGTTATCACGTAACGCACAGAGACCAAAAGTATGACTCTGCGGTGCCAAGCCTCTTGGTAAACGAGGAACAAAGAACAACGATCGCGCTTGACCACACCATGCACACACACGCGCGACGTTCATCGTGGGTCCAAATGATTGTGACGCTTGCGTTTTTCAATCGGGCAGGCGCTCGCCAGTCTCTCGGACACAAGCAAGCCTCGGTCGGCGGTGCCGCAGTTTGGCGTCGGCTCCGCATTGCCATGACCACATTCAAAAACTGAGGCTAATGAGAATGAGGGGATGATCTCTCAATCTCTGCGCCCCTGTCACCTGCAAATTTGCCTGCGTCCATGCTGCCACCTACCTCTCGCTTTTATGTTTTTATCTCAATGATGAGCAATCCCCGCCGGATGCAAGGAGAGAGTTATTGGGGCGGGCGCTATTTTTCCCCTCTGCTTCCCAATCGTTTCGAATAAAATGCACAGGAGGAGCACGTGAATAATGAGGTATATATCCTGGACATCTGTGACAAAGAGCTTCACAGCTCGTCGGATTCCTCCAGTCTGAATGAAGATTCTGACGTATGCGCACGTTCGAGATGTCGCATTGACCGTCAAGAAAACATACTAAATAGGGCTTGGGCAGGATTCTTTTTCTTGAATTGAATGATACATTCATAAGCAAAGTACAAATAAAAGGTGGTGGTTGGGACCAACGATGGAACGGCGGCCAAAGGAAGGAATGCACCCAGGAAGACGCTGACTGGAGATGGGTGCACACATCTAGCTCCTGTGTAGCAAACTCCGTGGATTGCACTTGCACAAAACTGTGGGAGATGGTGATGGCTTTGCGAGGAGGTTGACATCGAGCGGTGGATCCATCATCACTGCTTCTGATTGATGATGATGATGATGATATATGCCTTCATTTTCTGGCCTGCAAATGGGTGAAAAGGCAGAGGGGCAATCAGTCATGATCCTTGGAGTCTTCTTAATGAGATGAATGACTTCGTTTGGATGTATTGACGCACAAGTTGCACGTTGTTAAATCCATTTCTTTCCAGCCGTCACGCAGATGGTGATGGGCTCACTCGTAATTCACAGAAACTGCTGGATCTGAAATTTTCGTTATTCGTCGAACATTACTGAAGCGATAACACGAAAGCGCAAGTGTCTCCGACAGCAAAACACACCAGGACCCTCCTGTGTTTAGTACCTCCGATTAGCACGGTTGGCTACGTACGGTGAGAAAGAAGTTCAACGTACATGCACGCATACATGGGGAGTTCCAGCATGCTTTGCATGTAGGAATGACCTCGCAATTCGTTGCTCCGTATTCTGCGCAATTGCACCACGGCACGATGTGTTGGGGGTACTGCAGTACACCAATGCGTGAGCGCGTGTGCGACGTAAGAGCACGTTCTATTAGAGCGGTGCCCTTAGCGCTATGAAACACTCAGCAGATGTGGACGAATGAGATCAACACATTCTCTGTCCGCTGGACTGGAGGGATTTCCGCGCAGAATGTGAATTTTTGCAGCTGTTTGCGATTCTGCGGGAAGTCCGTGGTGTTTCTGTGGCTAATGAGTCTCAGAACGGAGTTCTCCCGCCCCGCGTCTGTCTAACACGGTGTGTGCTGAGTGTCGTGTTTACGAATGAAGCCGAGCTTCCGATCAGACTGTCCTTGCTTGCCCTTCAGAGGTCGACAACAAAGGGTCAAAGTTATAGATTCCTGAACAATGAAAAACCCATTAAAGAGCATTGAGACATTGTTGCTCATCTCCTGTTCGCAGCCCTGAGCTAATGGTGGAAATTCCACATTCCTATGGGCGGGGGGGGGGGCATCCGTAAGAGCACCGCCGTGGACTTCTCCGATTGGGAGACTTTCGCTCTCCCACTGAGCCACAGTTGGCAGAAAGTGGCCAATTTAACAAAAAATCTACTTGTTCAGTTTTTTATATTTTACATTTTTACATTGAAAGGTTCGCATTTTGAAAGCATTCTATTGTTGTACATTATGCAAAGGCCCTTTGTTTACACCCCCCCCCCCCAAAAGGCCTCATTTAGACTTAAGTCTCTTTTTTCCGAAGGGTCCCACGTTGTTGGGATGTTTGACAATTTCTACGAATGAGTTTGTGTGGGGGAGGAAATCCGAGCACTCATGGAAATGTTACATACAGGAGAGGTGACACTCAAAGCTTCACACAAATAAATCATCCTTTGCTGTACTGCCACCTCTTGCCCATCAAGTAGCCAAATCCTAATAACATTTGGTCAAAGGGAACTCTCACTCAACAAAATTTGATCAGTTTCATTATTTAATGGTAGCTTGTCAAGCATTTCACGTATACGCAACCCCATTTTTTTTCGCAAAGTCATCCAACTGCATTGGGCGAGGAAAATTTGGCTGCAAGCATTCGACTGCCGCCGTGAACCAGGGCAGACCATGGGGACCCCCACCAAAACAATTTTCCACCCCTAATATTAGTGCAATGAAAAACACATGCGTACGGATCCTATGGCACGTGGAGCATCGAACCAAACACACGTTAAACCATGTGTACAAGGGCAACGGTGGGAAAGTGCCACTGCTGAGCTTAAATCGAGCTTGCTGTGCATATTCCGTCACTCCACTGTGCGCTCGAGCAGATGGAATTGGGGGGGGGGGGGGCGTTTAACAATGCATCGATTCATCAATTTGAAATAGATGATTTTGCTCGGCAAAGGGCTGAGTCAAATCCCCCCCAACCAGGATTTGAACTCGCAACCTTTGCATTGCGAAGCTGACCGCTCTATCGCTGGGGCCACCTGGCCAATTTTGTTATCATTGAGTGTTCGGGCAGGCTGAGGTGACTGGTCAGCCCTGAGGTTAATGCCCATGTTGGGTACTGAGCCAGCGCCTCTGAAACTCCAGGTCAAAGCCCCAGGGCTTGTGAGTGAAATGCATGTGTGGTCAGTGTGGTGGTATCAGCCAGGTCACACATGACTGCACAAACACGCCAGTCCGTAATTGGCTGTTTGCGGTAAGTAAGGTCACAGTCAGTGCCCGGGAGGACATCAACTCTTTTTAGGCCCGAGGCTTGAAGCCTGAAGAGGGCCGGGGAATGACGCTAGCCGTGCCAGACCTATGGTGCAATGCAGTTTCATAGTGGCTCTAGAGCATCTAGTCCGAGGTGGTCGCAGAAATGGAGCGATTTAACTCCGCTCGTTTGCAGATGCCGAGTGGATTATCACATTGCAGGACCCCAGAGGGGGTGACTGTTTGGATAGATCTTCATCCAGCAGTGGATTACCATGGCTGCTGCTGATGATGATAATGAGTGCCTAAATGCACACGCATCTCAAGACGCCCTGCACAATGCTAGACAAGTCCTTCTACTGTTCACTGTCCTTCTACTGTTCACATTTTAGCAGCCTGTCCTCTATAGCATTGGTGCAGGCCAATCAGTTTCAAGGAATAATGTGTACATTATAGAAGCATATTTCTTTTCATTGTCTTTTTTTACCGCAAGTAGGTGTGGCTAATGCAGACTCGATACCTCGTAATTCGTGTCTCTATGGCGGTGCTTGAACATCTTTATGCCAGATAAGGGTATAAGCCTTTTTTTTTACACAATTCCTTATCTTACCAAATAGTGTGGGCGAATTCTTGTAGTTAACTCGAGACCGGATTGCGAGCTGGTTGTGGTGGTGGGTAATCTGTGAACTGGAGTGCCATGGTTGCATTTACGGGTGAGGAATTTATTGCGGGGGGTATTACGGATGATGTGGAGTTTTTTTGAAGTGAGGGGCTTTTGTAAAGGTCCAGTCATGAGACATTGGGGAGATGTCTGGTAGTTCTGAATTCTGAAAGAATCGAAACATTTTTTTTCTAGATTTGAGCCTGGTAGCTGCAGTCCATTTTTTTGTGTTGCAAACAAACTAAATGCCCCCTTGTTCGGATGCTCTAACAAAAAAAAACTCCCTCAAAAAGACAGCATTGTTCCAATTGAAATGCTCCTCAACAGGATGCTGTGATGTCAGGCTAAAAATATGCACAGAGAAGGGGGCTTTCTATTTTGAGTTGTGAGCTGACCAGGATGAGAACCGGTAAATAAAAGGGCCCAGTCGGTTTGTTTGCTTTGGTTTCTCTTTTTTTGCGCTGTGTGTTTGCCGCCCGTGATTTACGTTGGGTTTTTGTTGTGGGTGTTTGTGAATGCAGGGAGACAGGGGCCTTCCTGGACTGCAGGGGCCTTCAGGCCTTCCCGGATTTCCTGGGCCCGAGGGGCAGCCGGGCCTGAGGGGTCTCAAGGCACGTTCAATTATCTCCACACCTCGCCCATGGCCCCTTTCCTCCCGACCTCTTAACCCTTGCTAGCTCTGTGCCACTGTGGTCTCCTATCACCATTCAAAAACACACACACATGCGCCACGTTCGCTCCGACACATTTATTTTTCTTGTGACAAAAACTCTGTAACGGATTGGTCAATGTCAATGCTCTAAAGAGGCAAAATGTTAATCTTAGGTGATGTTTTGTGCAATCACGTGAAGCGTTAACCAGAAAAAGCCCGACAATAGGCCTCAACATTATATTTGAATTTTCTTACCATATCTTAAAAATATTTTTGCTGATGAATATATTTTTACTTATAATGACTATCCCAGTTCAATGTCTATGAATGATTACATTATCATGCTCCATGAAGCAAGTTTATTATATATACTGCAAACCATGCTGTTAATGAGTGCTCTAATAATTATTAACGAACATTTCTGGAAGGCAATGACCCAGTCTTGAAAAGTTGACATTGATTTGAAGACCTCCGCCCCCCACCCCCCCCCCCAAACGTTAGAGTAAAATCCTTTTCTGCAACTTCAGAAGCCCATTACCTCCTTGGCAGACGGCGGCCTGTGGGACATATTCCAACGTTCTTGTCACGCCATCTCCTCATCCTCACTTTGAATTTTCTTGCAAAAAATATTATCTGATTCAAGGGATACAAAAGGGGAGGAGCACGTGTTTTTCAAAACAACCCGGTTGTTTGGCAGCGACGATATTTGACTCGTATGGAATTGCGAGTTTGGCTTTGGGCGGGGACACATCTCGCCTGTGAGACGGCTCAAGGACAAAAATCTGGCAACGGAATGGCGTCCAAAGGAGAGATAGCGTGAGCACACAGGACGAGAGAACGTAGAATAAACGAGGAATGGCGAGAGCCGGTGGGAAGCTTTCTTTCCAGCAGTGGATAGAGCGTGGTTGATGAAGACTATTCTTTTCCCAGTGAAGCGCCACTTTAATTGTGTAGTTCACCAAACGTGCGGTTTGCTTCGATGTCAGTCCTGAAAAATTACTCTCATCCGGAGAGCAAGTGGGAGTTTTTTTCCTGGAGCGCATATTGTCCCCCTCCACCCGCTCCCTAAATGCAATAAGTTTATGTTCTGGCAAAACAAGTGGTAATTACATTTTTAAGTTAAGGTAAAGCAGCAGGAGCTCTAAGCAGCGCCATGAAGTCAGAGCGATCAACAGCGAAACGATATTCATCGCCCGCCGGAGCACAAGAGGCAGCAGGAGAAACAAAGCTCACAATCTCTGCGTGTTCTGTCGGCGCAAACCGCTCCCAACCACATGGCCGCCGGGGTCGGGTTAATCAGTTGTGGGGCCCCTTTCTAAAGTTCACTGTTGAGAAAAGTAGTTTTTGCCTGCGTTGTTAGAGGCTCTCCTTCCATTGGCCTCTTAACGGCATTGTTTGTGCCAAAGAAAAAACGCGGCACGCTGTGGAGCCCCTTCTGCACGACACGAGCACATGGAGTACTGGCGTCCAGGCTCGCAACTATTAGGGGGGGGGGGGGGTTATGCGGCAGCGTTACGAGACGCAATGGGGGGGCCCAATTTTTCGACAAAAAATAATCCAATGATGAACCAATAAATGCCCAAAAACATTGTTACAATTGATAAACACATTTACGAAAAATATACACAGTGTAAAATCTAGCAGCGCTACTGCTGGTGTTTCTTCCTGAACATGCCCATTAAAGCAAGGCACATGGTAACTTCATTGTGAGTATTGCACCTTTTAATATTTTTTTTATTAATAACGTCACTGTAAGACTGTCTTCCTCTAAACCCACTACACGGTGCATCCAGGGGCGGAGCCAGGGGGGGTGACAGGGGTGACATTCTGCGTGTAAGTGCACGACACTCGGTCTGGCGGACTCCGTGCAACTGCATTGTCAGAGTGTGTCGCCAACCGATGGCGTCTCGTTCAACAGCCTGACTCTCTAAATCATTCTTGAAATTAAAATTTGTTGAATGTCACCCCGGCTTGAAATCCTGGCTCCGCCCCTGGGTGCAACTAGAATAACAAATATCGTTATAGCATACGTATTATTGTATGCGGGTTAAAAAAAAACATCCGTAGCTATTTCAGTAAAAGCGAGTCGGGAGGAAGGAGAGGAGGGTGGCACAGTTGTATATTGCCATACCCACCCCGTTGAAAGAGGTCATTGTGCCCCTGCCGGCTTCCGTGCTGATGATGGTAACGGCAAGATGAGCGCAAAACATCTGCGGGAACAGTGGCCTCTTCCAATAATAGATCAATAAACGGGGTGGTGTAACGTCGAACAATCGAGACACTTGGTCAAGGTTGTGCCGTGGCGACCCGCTATGATACATGGCAGCAGTTTGTAACAGGCCCGCATTGTTTGCCTTGGATTCGAGTGTTTGTGGGCTGGCTCGCAGATCCTCGAAGGTGACATTATATACCTGCTGTGCCAGATGCTCGTTTGATTGAAATTTCCTAACATTCGCATACAGGGCTGGACTGTTTACATGCCAGTGTCAGGGTCTGCTGACGCACAGTCACAAGTTTCGTATAAGAAGGATGTTATTCTATTCCTTGCGGACTTGTCCAAAAAACGGTGTGCCCTTAGCAAAGTGTAGAGGTTTTTTCGTCTTCAAGAAATGCAAATTAGGAAATCAAATTTTTTTAATTTGCACTCCATGAGTTTAACTTTTTTTAAACACTGAATATGTACAAATCTGCTTAAGATTTAATTCGTAGAGAGTTTTATTAAGGACTCTCTCAAATGGTTTAGATGTTGGCTATTGTTTATAAACACGACCCTCTATTGGCAAAGGATAACTTATACGATATATGTTTAAATTCTGAGCTTTCTGAAGACAATGTTAAATACTTAACAGGTTGGTATTCAATTTAAGCATATACATTACCATACATTCCGTAAAGTAAAAAAAATGCTGTCATAGCCAGCAATACCAGCCTAATTTCACGTAGTAATTTAACTCATGATGAGATACTGCCGGTTGATGGTAGGCTAGAGTCAGTGAGTGATGTGGCACACCTGTAATGTAATAACAATGTGTGTGAACGTGCCTCCACTAACATTATTTGACCTTTTACTTTCAGGGCGACACTGGAGACTCTGGCCCGTATGGACCAAAAGGAAATCGCGTAAGTTGCTTGAGTGCATTATCTTGAACGACGTCTTAAAATATTCTTGGTTCTTTCGGTAAAGTCACGTAGAAGGGAAACAATAAAATAATAAAAATATAAGACAATAAAATTCTCACGACGTTTCGACTGCAACACAAGCAATCATCATCAGGTGTGACAACCACAGCAAGAAAATTTGAAAAAAGTGGCGGTTTTTTTTTAACGTTAGCACCACGGAGAGCGATTTGGCAGTTATTCAGACGTATTAAAAGTCATTGTTCCAGCAAATCGATTCTGAGAATTCCCATCGGTAAATATAAGGCGTGCAGCAGCTCTCCCCCCAAACTTGCGATTCGATGAATTGTCACGATTCATTTTATTGTTTTTATTGGCATCGTGGTTACTGTGGTGGCGGCAGGAATCATGTGAATCAATTCCACGCGACGTCTACGAATCTCAATCACGCACGATTCAATGTGTGCGTCGTGGGCGTGATGATCTATTTAAACCGATGAAAAAATCGACGCTCGGCAACTTGCACGTTGAATCCTGCATTTTCGCAAATGCCAAAAATGTCGTGTTTCAAAACTTACCGTGGTCTCGTATAATTTCTATTCGCCCGCCTCTGTTTTTTTATCTACCCTGTATGCTTGCATGGCTCAGTGTTGACATAGTTCCACAAGGTCATCCCTCAGGCAAGACCGCAATGCTCTGTCTTGGATTTATTTTCTCTGGTCAAAAAGCTCCGAGATTGCAATTCTCACTATGCTTACATTTTTTTGTCCACGTTTTGTCATGTTTCTACCCCCCCCCCCACCCCCTCCCCGAGTAAGCAGCGACCTTTAGAGGGTGGGTGTGTTGTGGCAGATGTTATGAATGCAAGGCCTCTCACAGGGGGGTGTGGGAGTGTGGCGAGGTAGGCAAAGGGTGAATTTTGTCCTAGGCCTCGCACAAAAGAAGGGCCCCACCATAGATAGGTTATATTTGTTTCGTTTTCTCTAATGAATAAGAGGACACACACATACACACATGGCATTGTGCGTCAGGCTTCCCAGGTAATGAACGTAACCAATAACTTCGCAGGAGACGGAACGCCGATATGGAGCAAAAATGTGCGTGTCATCCGAGTCGGGCCTGCCTGGCAAAAAAAAAAACACATCGTAATCACTGGAGATCTTCCAGAAGCAGGGGCGGGTGGGTTAAATGTCTCATGTGTTATTACGTTATGCAGAGTTGTGAAATATGGCCACTACAGCCTTAATATTTTTCCAATCGGCAAATGTTCTTTGGAAAAAGGCACCTCGAGTGCCTGAGATTATTTCGCTCGAATGGAACCCTTTCACAGCATCGCTTAGCGTTTTCAAATTCATGAGCAAACAGTAAGTAGTCTGTGTGTGTGCGGGTGGTGGCTTTATATTTGTCCATGTGCTTTTGCTTCAATGTATTAATTTAATTATATGGGTCGGAATTATCGCGGATATAAACACGTATCGTGTAGCCAAGGTTACACAGTACATCAACATTGTAACAGTCTCGTGGACCGATATCTGCACATCGTGTACATGTGCAGCGTTTAGCGCTACGCTGCGCTACGAACCCAGCCACCTGGGTTCGATTCCCGCTCACGGCCAAAATCAGTGACGATTGTCTGAACTGGTCCTGGGTATCCCCTAGGTCGACTCAGCCTCAAATGAGCACCTGGTGCGATCTGTCGTGCCAGCCTTCATAGGTGCTCGCTAACAGCACTTGCCCCAACAGTCTGTTAAGGCTATATGGGGGATCTTTGTCTCTTACTGAAAGGCCTGCGTTTGCTATAATAGACCCATTTCGCATGATTACAAATGTTTACAAAGTGTACCACGAGAAGTGTTGCAGGATCACGTGCGAATTCACCTCTTATCTTATCTAGGATGTTGCATAGCGCTTTGCAAGAATTATAAATTGTACATTAGTTATTGGCTGATGGGGAAAAGAGGATGGGGTTTGAGTGTTGGGGAGGCGAAGGGGTGACAAGGAAGGGTGATGATGGCGATAGGGAGGCGAGGTGAGGAAGGGGAAGGATAGTTAAGGTTTTAAGGATGCGGGCAGGATAGTAGTTGAGGGATACACTATTGCAAAATATATTGGTAAAAAAGTATCAAGCTTAAGGGATAGATCAATATAAAGAAGGGAAGAGAGGGTGGTGAGGGAGGCGGAGAGCGCTGGAGCCTCCTGCTGTAAACGTGGCGCCATTCCTGCAGCTGCGCCCTTTTGAATCTCGATTGAAAATGCATTTATTTAGAACTGAGTTTTCTTGTTTATTTTTTTGTCCTTCTGCCGTACCTCTAATTAGCACGGTTGGCTACGTACCATGGTGCGAAAGAAGCTCAACATGCATACATAGTCCCCTTTAATGCGGTTTAAAAAATAATGTTTAAGTAACAAGTGTTTTGTATATATTTAGCGTAAAAAAAAATCAACACCGGATAATTTGGATGCCCTGGGGCTCGTTAGTGCTGCCCTGGATGCCCCTGAGGATCATGGTCAATTGTTGTTTTTGTTGTTGTTGGTGGTGCGTAGGCCCCGGTTACTTTATCGGCACACCGATTTTCTCTCTCCGATGTTTCCCCCCCCCCCCCTGCCCTGAGCCTCGCTTGTGTTTTTGTTTTGTTTTAAATTTAGTTGATTTATTTTATGTAGATACAGTATACATGTGAATGTTGTTTTTTTTGTTTCCTTCAGGGTGCCCCAGGAATGCCAGGATTTCCTGGGACACCTGGTATCCCGGTAAGATTTACATATATATATAAAACCCAACACCATATTTTAGTTTAAATATGTAAATACAAATGAGCAAAGTGGGAAAAAAATGTGGACTATATATGAAAATGTCCAATATCAAACTTTTTTTTTTTACATTTCATTTCTTTTCAGGGTTTGCCGGGACAAGATGGCCCTCAAGGGCCTCACGGTATCCCAGGATGCAATGGGACTAAGGTAAGGTCCCCGGTCTGACTTTTAATTGTTGTTTTTGCTTGCGTGCACCGTTTGAGTTTGAGATTATTCGATTTGCACGGATGGTCCCGCTGAGCCAGTCGCCCGGCTATTTCTGTACCGTCTCATCGGGTGGCACATAACCAATTTTAAACGAGTGCTAAAGAATTATGCCTGGGGGATGTTTTGTAGAGAGATTTGCGCAAGTGCAATCAGCAAGGCATGCTCATTTTGAAAAGTGCATCCATCATTATTTAATCACGTGCTAAATATTTGACTCTTGTTAACATAAATTACCGTGCCATGTCCATAACGTCCATTAAATTATAATGATAGCCGCTGAGAAACATTCCAGACTTGCAGGAGGTGAATGAAATACAAATACTGTATGGGGGGGGGGGGACACATGAAAAACGTTGCAAGGCAAGATAAAATAAATGAAATGTATGAGATTGCTAGATACCGTAGGGTATATTTGGACAAGGTGCTAAGTGAGGCTGATAAGTGATAAGGTATGGGTTAGGTTGGCTTTGAAGAGGCATGGGAAGGGGCGAGGCGAGGCAGGACAAGTCAACTCTGGGCCCTCTTGAGTTTATTTGGAACACGTAGAGCCCCATTGCAATTCTACCGCCTATCCCTCTTAAGCACACGCAGGAGGATTATCACCATTCCAAGTCTGAGCCTTTAACCTCCTTAAAAACCCATTGGCTGACGGTTTAAAATAGATGTAAAGCTTTCGTGACTGCAAGGATTCATCTTCTTTGGTTCTTTCGGTAAAGTCACGTAGAATGAGAATAAAATAATAAATTGATAAAATAAAATAACGCAATAATATTCTCAATTTATTATTTTATTCTCATTCTACGTGACTTTACCGAAAGAACCAAAGAAGGTTTAAAATAGCTTGAGCAGAGGTCCATATATGTGTATATGTAGTATTCGCAGAGCTCAACAACAATACCTAATGAGTTTGTTTACCAAGAAGTTCGCTTTGCCTTATCTTGAAAACGATACCCTTACTAACAATGGTAATAACTCTATTTTGCCATACTGCTTCATTGAGATTCATATCTCGGGGGGTTATGCAACCTTAAAGTGGTGTCCCACAGTCTGTGTGTGTAACGTGCCTTATATGCTACGAGTTGGCCATGTGTAAACTAATCGCACGCCGTTTCTCTCTTGAAAACCATGAGCTGACGTATTCGATAAACCCCCTTTGCCTTGCGAATCGTGGATTGTTTACGTTGTGTACACGATTCTAATATTGTGGCATTGTTGTCTTATAAATAAGTCCAACTTTTAAAGGCTGTGCCCCCAGTAACTCCGAACCAACCCTTCTCGGTGTCACGATAAGACGCGCACAGAGATCTTTCATTTGACCACTGATCGCATGACCCACAAATCGTATTACAGTACCATACATCGTACGACTTCCATTCACACAGTGCCTGAATGCAGCTGCTGCTACCCCACTTAGTGCACCGAAATAAATATAGGACGCTAAACCTTAGCCGGCGGCAGGGCGAGTGGCTCGCAATCGGAAGGTTGGAAGTTCAACTCCTGGTTGGGGGTCGGCTCAGCCCATATCTCCTCGAGGATCGATAAAATAGGCACTATAGGTACTAATTTGCCCAAGGCTGTAAATTGGGAGATGAGCAGCAGCCTCGGCGATCAATTTAAATCACTTAAACTTGTTTTAAAAGTCATCCCTTCCACAAAGTCCTAAGCTGCACAATAATAACAACAACAACAACCCCATTCTTGTTTCAGGAGTGTTTTCATAGCCTGCGTACACACAGCAGGCTAGGCGGTGGCGAACCCTCGTGAGTAAACGTTTTAACAGAGGGATTAGTGCTGCACACAGAACTAGAGCCACAGACCAGAAAAGTTTCGTCTCAAGTTTACACCACTGGCTTTTGCCGTGTTTGCCACAGGGAGAGAGGGGATATCCTGGCCGTCCGGGATTACCAGGATTACTGGGCCCAACGGTAAGTGCTTTCCGTCTTTTAAATCCTTTGAAGGTTAAAGACCCTGAAAAAGATAAAATAAACATCTCCACTTCCCCGTTCTGCATCTCCACATAAAACTTAAATGTATAAAAAAAAATTATAATTAAGACAGCATTACAAAATTAATTAAAAGTGCGTTCATGTTTTTATTATAGTTAAGACAGTTCTAATTATAATTAACACAGCATAACAAATTAATGATACGTGCATTTAATTGTTTTATTATAATTGAAAGAGTCCTAATTATAATTAAGAGAGTATTAAAAAGTGAATTATACATTTATGGATAGTTTTCATTGTAATGTTTACTACCCATAATGCTCCGCAATATTCCATCACCCATAATTCCCCATGACCCATAATTCTCCACACCAGTGCAGAATGAGCTCTTAAAAGATATGCTGCTTGTGCAAGTCACCTTCTTATTTTGTATCGATGTAATTGTGACTGAACAATGGCTATTGTTGAAAGGAAATATACATTAAAGTAAAAACTTAAACTTTTTATTTTACCAGGTAAGGCACACCGAGCGATAGCTCTGTTTTTTAGAAGCGACCTGTCCACAAATGATAGCTCACCGAAGCGGCTTATCACGTGGAAATGTATAGCAGCCAAATGCTCTAAACGAATGTTGATTCTAAATGCGGAGGGAAAAACCGGAGGACCCGGAGAAAAATTCACACGATCACGGGGGAGAACATGCAAACTCCAAATCTCCAGCAGCAGTCGTCAGGGTTGGGATCGAACGAACAACTGGATAAGGAAGATAACATCTCGCCACTGTGCCCCAAAGCAGCTTCACGTTTGCACAGGCTGAGTGTGTACTTGTTTAGAATTACATAATTTGGCCCAACATCAATACAATTACTCGAGGCGTCCCTGGCATGCAGACGGGGCCTTTGGGTGAATTAAACCCAGCCTAGCTTAATAAAATCTACACGTACAGGAATGCAAAAACTTTCATTTTTAAATTTTCTTGCAGCATTTGCATGTGTGCGAGTTACGAACAAAGTGGTGGCGTAGTGGGGAGCCGGTGGCGAAGTGGTTTTTTGCTCCCTGCGCGAGTTCAATTCTCGTTCGCGTCCAACAACTGTGGTGAATATCTGAACCAGTTCTGGGCTTCCACTCGACAATACGTGAACGAGTGGAAGCCGCATTGGCAGTGGTGCACAAGCTCAATAAAGAAACAACAACAACAAAAACCCAACACTTCGGCCTGAAACAAAAAAAATTATCTCTACAATTATTATTGATGAATGAGCTATCAGGCCTCCGATCGGTAAAGTCGGCCTTAATAAACCACCGCATCTTGCGGTGCGTAAACATCAGCGGCGAGGATGACGGCGGATGGCCTGGCTGTGGCTCGTGCTCCGCCACTTCCTCGTGGACCGTGCCGGCCTTTAATAAGCTGCTCGCTCAACAGCACTTGCCCCAACAAGCCTATTCGGCTGCGGAGGGGACCCATGACATCGTATTTATTGACAGAATGACGAGGCCATCGTGGCGAGCTGTTTCTGACGGGCGTGTGTCTCTGTTGACGCGTCACGATATTTGTTTTCTCTTTGCAGGGAATACCGGGACTGCCAGGCATGAAGGTAAAGCCGTCTGTCGGTCATGTGCTTGTACGATTAAGACACCAACCACAGCAATCGCGCTCCGATACGCCGTGGCTCCCATTTGTGTAGATGTAATTTAGGCTACGTTGCCACCTTGTGCCCGTGTCTTGTCAATGCAGGCGCGCGAAGACATAACGTTGACTAAATCATACAGACAACTCCCATGTAATAAAACCATGGGCGGAGTTTGGGGGAGGGGGAGGGGCAGCGCCCCCCACAAACCGGACACCTTTATGAATTTATTTTCAGTAGTTTACAATTAAGATTAAAATAAATCAATTAATTAATCTTATGTGAATGTGAGGGACAATGCGAACCGCCTGTCCCCCCCCCCCCCCCAAATATAGAAGTCAAACTCCGCCTACGAATAAAACTATAGTTTGCACATCCACAAACGTGTTCACATTCGATGAACGTTTGCACACGTAATTCTAAAGCACCCTTCACTACCCGTCAGTGGGGGGTCTCTTATTGCCAGCTCGGCTGACGCCTGAATATTGGATAGAGGCGGCACAAGGATGGATTAAAGCAGGGGCCTCCGGGAGCAATTGTGTTTTAAGGGGCCCGCAAAAATCCAAATAAAAACGCTGTCATGACGGTAGAAATGCAAGACCGTAGCACCAGCGCCGTTTGGTCGATAAGGCCATAACCGTGCGCGCTGTGCGTCGACTTTTAAACGTAACCCCCCTTTTCGATTCTTACGTCGCACTTAAAAGCGAGACCTGCAGTGTGCCCGGGGCGTATAACGTCGGGGCGCGCGTGCCATTCGGCGTGGGTGGCGGTAAAACGGCAAAAAGGAAGAAATTGAAAAGACAAACAAAGCGGGGGCCCACACCCCCCCCCGCCCCCGACCTCACATGCAATCCGGCCAAGGGTGTACAAGACTCTCATGGGTTCGATTAAACGCTCCCCCCGCCCTCCCCCGCACACAAAATCCAAGCGTCGTCTGTCTGGGTGGTGCTGCGCAACCGGCGGTGTGCGCGTCAACGACAAACGCCGTTGGATTCCGGGCAGCCGCGGGTGAACTTGCGCCCTGCGGCGCAACGGTTTAACGAGCGCCGCGCAACGGAACCCTGGCGGGTCCGAGTTCGATTCCCGCTCACGGCCAACGCCGGCGACGATTATCTGGACCGGTCCTGGGCCCTCCCTGGTGCGGCGTGTGAACGTCGCCAATGCGGGAGCCCAAAGGTGGCCGGGCGTGGTGTCGGCCACCCACGCCCTCGTGTGCCGTGCCGGCCTTCGTAAGTGCTGCTCGTGAAGAGCACTTGGCCCCAACGGTCTGCTAAGGCCACAAGGGGGATCTTTGTGTTTGTTTTGCTGTTAACAAAACGCAACCGAAATTATGCTTTTGTTCCGCATCTCAATTTTGCAGTGGCCTTGTTTGCCCATTCTACGTCAATTGCTTGGCAAACGCCTCGTGACAAAAGCAGAACATTCCGGACAAAATTTTGGCGAGGCCGTGAGAGACCCTGGGGAAAGGATATAAAAAACTCTTGCCTGGGGCGCTTGTAAGACGCGATCGCTTACTTTGGCTCACCTTGAGAACGCATTGGTCCGCTGCTTAGGAAGTTATCGTCGTGAAAAAGTCCACGGGTCTTCCGTCACATCGGCAGTAGCAGTGGGTTCGTGCGCGGGGGCCGCGAGCCTGCCGCTGCAACAATGAGAGGATGTTGAATAAAAGCCGCCACTTCGTCTTTGTGTTTGTTTGTTTTTCTCGCAGGGCGATCCTGGAGAGTTCTTTTCTTCGTTTCCGGGGCAGAAGGGCGACCCTGGTTTACCTGGAATTCCGGGGCACGCCGTGAGTTTCGCTTGCTGGTGGTGCACGGGGTCACAGATTTATACTTTTTACAAATTTTCACACAGTTGCTGAACCCAGGCTCTGAGGCCCAAATAACGTCAAAGCGGATTTGCATTGTCCCGACAACGAAGAGCAACACGTTCATGAGGAGCAGTGGGGGTGACGCGGCCCGGCGAGAGTGTTCGCCACTTCTTGCGGAGGTTCTTAGATTGAGCCCCACGCCTTTTAAAGATCCCGAGAGTAGGCCATGTGTGCCGGTGCCATGATCGATATTTGCCAAATAAAAAAAAAATTACTCCATTGTAAACACGTAGCATCATCGCCCCCTGCTGTGACAACTAAGCAGAACCCTTCTGGAAGCGAGTTAATAACACAAATGTTACGTTATTTTCATTGATATATTAGTGTAATCATGACAATAAACTTAATACTTAAATGTATATCTCTCCTTGAGAGACGTAGAGAGATATCTCTGCTTTCGGGTGCTGCAGTGATTTGATGTGATCTCCTTCACCTGCTACGCCAGAGGTTTGTGGGTTCAATCCCAAACCATGGCGATCCCCGTTGTATATCTGGAGTCCACGTGTTCTCTCTCCCCGTGGTAGTCATGTGGATTTTTCTCCCGAGTTGTCCCGGTTTCATGCTCCACAGGTATTAAGATGCGTGTAGATTATTTGGCTGCTACTATAAATTATAAACTTCCCCCTTCGATGAGCTAAAGAGCTAATATCTCAGTGAGCTTTACCTGGTAAACAACAATAATCACATTTAAGGAGAGCTATTTCTTCAAATGGCACTGATTGAATATATGCGTGGTTTGTCTGGATACTTGAATTTCCTCTGACATGCCCAAGTAGTCATTAATGAAATTGGCCAGACATCCCATCCCTCTCCTGACAAGGAATCTTGAGATTCAGTAGGCTGTTCTGAATAAAGGCAATTTTTATGCTATGTGTGTTTGCATGCTATACTATGTGTGTGTGTTTGTATGTTATAAGGTGTGTGTATGCTATAAGGGGTGGGGAGCGGTAGTGTAGCAGTTAGTGCGCTGCGCTATAAACCTGGCGACCCGGGTTCGATTCCCGCTCACGGCCAACACCAGTGACGATTATCTGAACCGGTCCCGGGCCTCCCCTAGGTCGACTCAGCCTCAAATGAGTACCTGGTGCGGTGTTTAAACATTGCCACTAGGGAGACAAAGGCGGTCGGGCGTGGTGCTGGCCACCCACCCCCTCGTGTACCGTTCCGGCCTTCATAGGTGCTCGCTAACAGCACTTGCCCCTACAGTCTGTTAAGGCTATATGGGGGATCTTTATTTTTTTATGCTATAAGGTGTGTGTTTGTATGCTTTCATGTGTGTGTGCTATAATGTGCGTGTGTGTGTATGCTATACTGTGTCTGTGTGTGTGCTATAATGTGTGTGTGTGTTTGTGTTTCAGGGGCAGCCTGGGAGCTCAGGGCTGCCAGGACCATTTGGACCACCTGGACCAAGAGGTTTTCCTGTGAGTTTGTGCGTGTGTCTTTGTCTTTCGGCGTGGATATGTGAGTGTTTGTATTAGTATTTGTGCGTGTGTATTTTTCCGTGTCTTTGTATGTGTGAGTGTTGTGTCTGTGTCTTTGCATTTTTTGTATTTGTGCAGGGAGCATTAGTGCAGCGGTTAGCGCTCTGTGCTACGAACTCGGCGACCCGAGTTCAATTCCCATTCACGGCCAACACCGGTGACGATTGTCTGATCTGATCATGGGCCTCCTCTAGGTCGACTCAGCCTCAAATGAGAACCTGGTGTAATGTGCACACATCAGACAAAGGCGGCTGGGCGTGATGCTGGCCACCCGCCCTCTGGTGTGCCGTGCTGACCCGTGTACGCGCTCGCGAACAGCACTTGCCCAAACAGTCTGTTGAAGGCTATACGGGGGATCTATGTCTTGTTTATGTGTGTAGGGAGCAGTGGCACATTTTCTTGCTTACCACGGTTACTCAGCACAGGCACAGAGTTAATAGATTTCTGGAATTGATTGAGAACTTTGGGAAACAGACGACGGGGAGGGACTTCCAAAGTGGAGCCGTGCGCGGGAACAAGCGGGAATGAGAGGGTGTTTCGATCTCCAGTAGTGCGGCAGGTTGTGTGCACGTGTGTTGAACTTCTTTCGCACCGTACGTAGCCGACCCTTGCTCATCGGAGGTGCGGTCGAACACGGAGTGAACTCGGTTTCAATTCCCAGCTGTGGCCACTGTCAGTTGCCGGCGTAGCTTTCAAGGCCTGTGTATGCTCAGAGGGTGGACCCGGTCATGAGACGTGAAAAACATCTGCCTATCTCTGTGGATGCTGTCGTGTGTTGCGTGCAGGGCCCACCTGGTTCACCCGGGTCCCCTGGCCCAAAGGTAAATGTCGGTGTTTAAACTTTTTTTTTTACGGCCTCCGTTAATATTTGCAAAAGTGAAATCACGGTTTTTTTTGCATGCAAAAAAAACACCCGTCAATGTTGACATGTCCAAGGTTGGTTGTGTAATTTGTACAAATGTTCACTTTACAGGGTTCCATGGGTTTGAATTTTGAAGGACAGAAGGGTGAAAAGGTGAGTTGCTGCTGTGAACATTACTGGGCTAGGGCTGCGTATCGAACGATGCATAGATTAAAATGGATTTTAAATAAATTCTCATGCTTGCACTACACGAACTAAATTGTGCTTGTAAAATAGATTATTTAAAAATAGATGTTTAAAAAAGTATATAATTTACATGCAAATCGTGATATATAGAAGTGTAATGTCCCCCCCCCACCCCACTCACTACCTTGCGATGTAATCAATTAGTTTTTGTGATTCAGCGCCTGGTTTCGATGCAAGAATCAGCTTTGTTTACATTGTGGTGAATGATGTCAACCTCTCATCCTTTACACAAATTGTCATGTGCTGCTGCTGCTGCTGAATTGGCAGTGGTGCATGAGCACACAATCAACACATAGACGAGAATGAAGAAAAACTCAACACGGTCGTCACTCTCACTGTGGCCTTCAAAGAAAATAAGTACGAGGCGACGTATCGAACAACGGCCCTCATTCGCAGCATGACTACATAGAGAAGGGCCATTGCCTGAAACGTCGACGAATGCATTCTTTCCCTCATTGATTGTTCTCGTGACGCATTCTGCTCATTCCTCTCTCGATTTCCTCAGCTTTAACATTCAGTGCCGGTGGGGTGGGGGATGTGGGGGTGGGGACTCCCGTTCTCTCATTCTCTCGCTCTCTCTCTGCCTTTATTTCGCCATTTGCTCACGGTATTCGTTTGCCCCCTTCGTGACCTCAGGGTAGCACCGGACCCGCGGGCCCTCCGGGGCCTCCTGCAGGGCCGCCCGCTCAGGAAAAGCCGCCGGAGGGAGTGTTTTACAAAGGCAATAAGGTGATAATAACAACGCGGAAAATGTCGTTGTGAAAAATTAAAATAGCGAGACATATACAAGCGGACACACCGTACCATCTGCGCACTCCCAGAAGGCTGCGTGGCTGATGGTATGTGTGAGGAAATATTTAAATGTTTTGCTTTTGTATAGACGTGAAAGGATGCGTGTTGTTGGCTGGTTAATTTAGATCTTCAGAAATAGCTCTTGAGACCTCCTGCCGGCCCCATCCTCGGACAGGGGGGGGCGACGGCGCTGGCAGCTGTCAGAGTGCCCAACTGAAAACGTCGTTTGTCACGTGACCTCAAACCCAACAGCGCAGCTGCGAGATAAATTTGGGGCGAGGATCGAACGTTCGTTGTACATTGCCGTCTGATTGGCGTGTTAAAGCGACATCGCTGTGCCCCGTGTGCCGTCTCTGAGAGTCTCACAATACGTCCTGATGGTCTCGGCTCGGAGGCCTTGGTCAAAGCGTCGCGAAGACGGTGTTCGTCTTCGATGCAATAGTGACCTTTCGGTGAGCTCCTCGTGTGGTTGGGCCGTCCAATCCGGAGTCACTGCTTTGCACCGGAATCTCCATTGAAATCCTCCTCCTACACAACAACAAAACAAATTCCCTTTCGACCCACCCACACGATTACCCCAACGGGGGAGGTTTCGGGGCGTGGGTGGTGTAATGAAGGGGGATGGGAGGGGGTTCTTCAACCTCGCCCACCCTCTTAGCTGTAGGACGGTAGCTCCGGATGCACAGGCTTTTGCACGAGCCCAAAACAAGACAATGAACATCTCGCTACTTAAAGGGATCAATGAGCCATCTGTTGTGTGCAAATGTGTGATGATTGTGGGAAAGTGTAGAGTTATTCAGGGAGGGGAAAACATTTTCCAGAGCTCAGCCTCGGACAGCTCCAGCTGAAATGCAGCACTGGGCGGAGGTTGTCTGGCCCCCACTGCACCACCCCCTCCCGACCCCCATGGATGGATAAGTGCTCCTATTGAGCAGAAGCTCCCCCATCGATGTGAAGCTCCCCCATGGATGTGAAGCCCTCCCATCGATGAGATGAGAAGCTCCTCCATGGATGAGAAGCTCTCCCATCGATGAGATGAGAAGCTCCCCCATGGATGAGAAGCTCTCCCATGTCAGAGACACCCCCCCCCCCGCTCCCAGCTGTTTTAAAAGCACGGCCATCGGACAGCGCGGTGAGCAAATACACACTGGCGTTTCGGCTTTGGCGCTAACGAATTCCCGCTCGTGCGTCTGATCAGGGAGACGCTGGACCCCCTGGTTTTCCAGGCAGGGATGGTCTTCAAGGTCCTCCGGTAAGTTTGCGTTGACGCCAGTTGTTTTAGTTGATAAACAATGATAGTGTTAACGATGTGTATTTGACATGGCACCCTTGAATGCCAGGTCACCTCAGCGCACTTTACATCGCATCTCATCTCAAACATTGGAAAGGGCACCCCCCCCCCCCCGCGGGGGGGGGGGGGGTGCCCTTTCACTCATCACTCTCCACTCACAACTCCCCTCTCATCACTCTCCACTCATCACTCTCCACTCATCCCTCTCCACTCATCCCTCTCCACTCACGACTCTCCACTCACGACTCTCCACTCATCACCCTCCACTCACGACTCTCCACTCATCACTCTCCACTCACGACTCTCCACTCACGACTCTCCACTCACGACTCCCCACTAACGACTCTCCACTCATTACTCATCACTCACGACTCTCCACTCATTACTCATCACTCACGACTCTCCACTCACGACTCTCCACTCACGACTCTCCTCTCACGACTCTCCACTCATCACTCCCCACTCACGACTCTCCACTCACGACTCTCCACTCACGACTCCCCACTCACGACTCTCCACTCATCACTAACGACTCTCCACTCATCACTCACGACTCCCCACTCACGACTCTCCATGTGTTTCAGGGTATGCCCGGGTTTGGATTGGCAGGAGAAAAAGGAGAGCCGGGGGAGGCTGGAAAACGCGTGAGTGTCCCTTTCCCTCTCTCCACGCACGGCACGGGCGTTGAGCGGGAACGTTTAGCAGCGAGCGCGGCGCCCCCCTACGACTCGTCGAGCCTTGGCGCGTGCCGACGGACGGGGGAGATGCGGCGTGAGGAGCAAACACTCGGCCGTCGGTGCGTCTCCACGGGGGGGAACGTCCGAGCGCCGCTTGCGGTGCGATGCGGCGGCAACGGCAACCTCGCTCCTGTCGCGCGCCCGCTACGTGACACGCGTCTCGGAGCGCAGAAATGCGGAGAAGGGAAAAAAAAACCGGGAGGGGGCACAGGATGGGACCGAGCAAAGGGTTAGGAGAGAAAGGGAGCCTTAAAAAGTGTGGGGGGTGGGGGGGGTGGGGGGTGGGTTCTGTAAGCATGGGGTTGAAGAGGAAGGTTTTTCGGAGAGATTTGAAAGCGGTGAGAGAGGGGCATATGGAGGGAGAGGTGGACCTGGCGGAGTTGCCCGGGGAGGCAGCTGCGAGGGCTTGAGCGTGGTGTAGGGGCTAAAATAGCGACACGGGTTGCTGGTGAAGCACACGCCCACATTGTGGGAGAGGACGTCACTCACTGCTTTGTCCTTTTAGGGGAAGCCGGGAAAAGATGGAGACCCCGGCCTTCCGGGTTTGGAGGTGAGTGTGAAATCCCCGCATCAATTTATGCCCCACGGTCACCGGCATTCTGCACACGGAGCGAACATTTAATTTTGCAATTGCTCCAAAATCAACTTCGTTTTTCCACCAGGGTCAGCCAGGGACACCTGGATTTCCTGGAAACCCTGGCTTCGATGGACAGAAGGTATGGCCCTCTAAATCATATACCTCTATATTCAAAAGCTCGGCTTTCACTTTTAATTCTTTAGTCGGGTTATGTTGAAAAATCAAATATATATCATGTTTCTTTTTGGTGCAGTCTTTGGTGTCTGGGCTGAGATAATAAATTCTTGCTCTTGAGGTTGCTGTTTAGACATATCGGCTCAAGCAAGCCTGAGACATTGAATGTCAAAACCGGTGCAGGAGTCTGCCGTGCATAAAACAGTGCTGCTGGTTAATACAGGGTGTTTGAAAATGTTTTTAGCACGTATATGGGACTATCGTTTTTATAATGGAAAAAAATGAATACATGATAACAAATGTATGTGAATAGCTTCAAAAAGTCATCACTTGTTCACCCTAATTATCAACACGTGCCTGGAATCTTCCCCAGGCGGTATCCAGAGTCTGGAGGCACATTTATTGTGGTACTGTTGCAATTGCTCAGAAGTGTTTAAAAAAATATTTAAACACCCTGTGTATATGCACTCCCAGAAGGCTGTGTGGCCAATGCGATGTGGAATTTTTTTTGTTCACGTGGACAGGAAGATATTGGAAAGGGTGGTATTGTCTGCTACGTGATATTGTTACACGTGTATTGATTCATCTTAAATGGTTTTTTTTACTAAGGATTGGTCATTACCTTTATTTGAACTTCATCAACATCACGATCCATGGGCAGATTGCCCGCAGGTGTCCACTGCACACTTCGTCATGCTTTTCCACTTGCCTCTGTCTTGTGCCAATTTGCTCAAGAAGTGGCCACATCTTTCTGGCACCAATCTCTCTTTGTGTTGTCGTCGTCAAGCCGTTCTCCGTTAGGTCTTCTACTCTTTCCGGTTCCTCCCATTTTTCCAAAACTACACACATTTAATGTTCCTGTTCTTCATCCTACATACGTGTCCAAATATATACGTGTCCAAATAGGGCCGGTTTCCTTCTCATCACCGCCTGCGTCGCCTGTATTTCTCTCGCTGGATTTAAACCCTCGTGCCCTGAGAAGCACACCGTTCATTTTCTTTGTCTTGTGCCAAGAAGTAGCGACAGATTGAGAAGGGAGCGTTCCTTTGGCCGTAATGCGCCACGGACGAAGGAACAGTCCGGTGTCTCTTCTGCGATGACAGTCTCGTCTTGCCTCTCGATTACTCTGCTTTGATAAAAGATTTTTTAAAAAATTCGACGAAAAATGTGAGCGCAATTGCTTGCGATCGTTGTTCGACTGCAATGTAGTCCGTACGTCCCAAGTATTCGGTTTTTGTAAAAGAAAATGGACTACGTTAATTGTTTTATTTATGACATCGTACAGTTAATTTTCTCGTTGTGAAATTGGCTTTTTGTTATTGTGTTCTTGCCTTTGTAACCCACATCTCCTTCGATTAAAGGAATTGTAGTCTCAATGGGTCCTTAAATGGGTAAAAAAATATATAAAGGATCAGAATGACTGATGCCTTGGAGAGATTCATTATCGATTTTGTGGATGTTCATCGGTGAAATAAAGTGTGAAAAATATATATTGGATGAAGTGTGTGTTAAGGTGTCCTGTTTTATAAATGTTTTCTTTTCAGGGTTCAAAAGGAGACCCTGGTTTGCAAGGGCCCCCTGGCCAGGTGAGTTTCTATGTACACATACAATATGTAAAGTATGTACAGTATTTACGATCCTGACTGAGTGACTGAAATAAATCCTAGTTGAGTTCTAGATCGGTGGTTCCAAACCTGGGGTGCACGCACTCCCTGGGGTGCGTGATGCCCTTTCTGGGGTTGGGAGACATGGCCAGATATTTTTTTAGAAGGTAAAAAACTAATAAAAATTAAATAAAAGAAAAAAATAAAACATGACGTTTCGGAGGCAACACAAGCTTCCGTCTTCAGGTGGAAACATTCACAGCAGCGAATAAAACCAAAGAGTACCTATTTCTTTATTAAGATTATATTTTTTGTTTACGATTGAGAACCAAAGGGGTGCAAGGCTGTAGTAAAATGTTGAGAACCGCTGTTCTAGATGGAATGGAAAGCTGAAATTTGGCACAAATATTGGCGCCAACAATTGACCTGAGCTCTGTGGTCCAGTATTCATACGTTTGGTACAAATTAAATTAATGATTGGGTCTCTATATACGTGTGGGAGGGCCTGACGGAAAAAGAAAAAAAACCCAATTGTGTCAAGAGGCCAAGCACTCCGGTGCCGTTGACGGATGGGAATGAATCCAGTCGCGAGCCAGCAGACAGCGGACCTTGAGATCTGTAGGTGGCGTAAAACATTTGTAGAATGAGCGTGATCCAGCAACCATCGCCTCCAGTGTGCCGCATCGCAGGCCTTGTATGAACAATATCTGTGGTTCTCTCAGGTTATTGGCCAACCACCTCCACATGGCTTTGGGTCCAAAGGTGACACAGGATTTCCTGGCGCACCGGGAGAAAAAGGAGAACCTGGTTTTACAGGTAAATGCATTGTCACAACGCATCCTTCTTAACCCTTTCCCGCTCCGAGACGTCTGCAAGTTGCAGGCTGGGCCCCCGTTCACCGCCGAATCTCGGAATGCGCGAGCGGTCAGCGTTAATATTTTACTTAGAGAGGCGTGGTGTCGTTGTTTTTAAAGCAGAGAACCGTAGTGACGCGACCGCAAGTCTGCGATATCTGGCGCCAAACTGTGCCACACGGCCCTCCCGCGTCGAGTGGAATCGGAAAAGGGTTTTTTCGCCAACACAAAACAAGCGCTAGCGTCGTCGCAGCGAATATAAGTAACGGAATGAATGAGCAAGCAAAATCTTTCCTTCACATTTTTTGCAGCTCCACGTAAAAATAAATAAAACGATTGCTTACACATACCAACCACACGGCCTTCTTATCTTCTCAACAACAATGACAATGACTGGGTTGTCAGTTTTCGTTCTTTCCTTGAGACTCATCTTTTTTCAAGAGCGTATCCCTCTCCTGCTTCATGTCCGCATACTTAAAACCTTCACCATCCTCCCCCTTCCCCTTCCTCACCTCGCCACCCCCTCTTTCCCTATCATCGCCCTTCCGTGCCATCCCTTCCCCTCCCTAACACTCAAACCCCATCCCCTTTCCCCATCAGCCAATAACTAATGTACAATTTAAAATTATTGTAAAGCGCTTTGACAAAAAGTGCCATGTAAAATCTTCGATAAGATATAATATGGTTTTGTGTGAAACTAGGACCCATATTTAACAGAGAGAGCATCCTCGCCTATTGGCATCTGACCTTTCACCAGCATTGGTTCAAGCGAGCCTGGCTAACTAGACACCGAATGTCAAATCCCACCCAGGGATTGCTTTTGTCGAATAATTGCTGCTAAGATTACGCACGATCAGAAGGACCTGTGTGGCTGACGTGATGTGCTGAAAAAGAATAGTTGCATTCTTTTGTACGTGGGAAGGGCAGGTGCATAAGGGAGGTATGTTGCCTGATGATTTATTTTGCTACATCTCCACCACTGCCATGAATGCCAAAACTCTCGCGTGTGTGTTGCTTGTAAGCGCGAGGTTCATTCGCACCACAGTCGCAAGAGCCAATTAATTATCTTGACACTGCGGTGAGTGTAGCGGCCACTCGTGGCTGCAGGGGGGTCACGTGACCCCCATTACATACATACGTGTGTGCGAATGATAAACTAATCAATTCCTCCACGCCGTGTTCAGTGCACACATCACGACCTTTAATAGTCGACACGAATCGACGAACCACTGCATCGATGCACCTCGAGTTTGGGTAAGCGACGTGGCCGAGTGGTGGCGCGTTTACCGGTCCTTCGCAGAGGCCCGCAGTTTGAAACCTGCAGGCTGCCCTGGTTATTACCGCGGCGCGAGTCTCAACCGCACAAGTACGTGCCGTCTGCTTCGCGGTGAACGTGAAAGGATCCCGTGATGTCACTTGAATAAAGCGGGCCATTGTGTGCTGGCATCATGGTCCAAATTTGGAAAAATTACTCCGCAAATTAATCAATTGGGATTACACAGAACAGACTGTGTACATGAACCATAGCAGCGCCTTCCTTCGTGATGATAGCCTTCCACTATACGAAACGGCGCTCATACCAAATGTACATAATTGTTATAATTGTGTTTGCGTGCGATTGCTGCAAGTAGTGATGCAAGGTTTTAAATTTCTGTTCTTATTCCATCTCAGGACCACCTGGGTTGAACGGTGCACCGGGTCCCCCAGGTAACCACTCCTCTGAACGTTACAGCACAGATTTCAAACATGCAAGCGCGCAATCTTCACATCATCTGTTTGAGATTACAATATATACTTACGTTCTTGAAGTTTATAGGTGTGGTGGTGAGGATTTTCACCTCTTAAGGTTTAACACAAAAAAAAACAGGATGCATGGGTTGAAGAATATCTCACAATACCAGGAGAAAGGAGAACTACATCTGATCTGATAGAGTAATCTGAGATGACATGAGACCTCACCACCACTGATGTCAAGGGTAACATCACTATGGTGTCGTGCGCTCATTACATGCACTCTCTTACCCCTGTCTTCCTATGGCGTCTTCTCCCCAATTCAGTCATGGTGCTGTGTACAACTGCATTTTTTTCGTCATCCTCCATAGATGACTTCAGCCCCATTGCTCACTGCAAACCACTTAGGGTTGGCACTTTTTTCCACAAACCAAAACCCCAACTTAATTCTCATGGGAGACCGATGTCCCTGAAAACTGTGCAGTATGTCCCTGCAAAGCAGCGCAAAGCAATGCCGCCAGATGTCGGTGCGGATTAATTCCCTGCCGCACGAACACAGATGCCAATTCCTGGACTACGAATAAGATCGTAATTAGCGCTGTCATTGTTTTTTTTTCCTTCCGTCTTTATCTTTTTCCAAAGAATCATCCCTCGATCATCGCCTCCTTCAGCCATTTGGCGATCTAAAAAAATACAAAAATCAACTTATTAATTTTATTTATGGTTGCCAGTTCAATTCTTTGCTGGGCATTAACACAGCCCATCGTCCCTCTTGGGGAGAGAAAACAGATGCCACTTTGGTGGGGGAGTCAACACTGGCTGTCCTATGGGATAGACTTGTTGCTCGTTTGGTCATGACATTGCTTTGACTTTACTTTTTACCTCCTTCGTGTGCAACTTGACTCCTGTCCACACGGCTCACGGCTTTGAATGAGATGTGTGAAATAAAACGCGGGATCTTTTTTTCATGCCCCAGCTTGCTGTAAGTAGATTCTAATGACCGAAATGTTGTTGTTCAGGTATCACGATACAGGGCCCTCTGGGGCAACCAGGGATTTCGGGAGAAAGGGGCCAGAAGGGTGACCCGGGACCCCCAGGACTAAGCTTCCCAGGGCAGCAGGGCCGGGATGGGCAGCCTGGGGCTCCTGGTCCACAGGGGCAGCCGGGTCTCCCTGGCTCACCAGGTAAGCACGCAATCTCTTTTGCATCATCTTTAATGTTTTCCGACAAAGGTTGAACGTGTGCATGGCTTTTGCTCTGTCCGTCTGTCTCTAACATGGGGTTAGGGGGGGTGGAGCACTGTAATTCTCCTAAAGATGATCCAATGTGAGTGAAACTTTAGTGTAAAGTTGTGGGGGCTCTCGTCGTCATGGTGACCAATTGGATACCCAAGTATAGACAATGGTGATGCATGGTAAATGCACGGCCCTTAAATTACCTGCTCAAGTCACTGCTGGTGGAAGGGCCTTCCAGAGAAGGAGCTATAGAGAACCCCTCTATATAGCATGTTTGACGTACTCTTCCACGTTGGCCAGCGCGTCTTGGAAGAGATGGGAGTTACCCACACTTTATCACACCGCATGCGACCTCCCAAATGACTAACTCTAGTGTTTAATTTGCCCCCATTGTTTCACTGGGAGATCGAATCGGCGACCAGAGATCGAACCAGGACCTCTGGATTGCGAGTCCAGTGCGCTGGACCATTGCGCCCGCAGGAGATCCCCTCGACTCTAATATCACTGCAGCAATGTGATAATTCTTGGCCACGGTTAGAACCTCTGATGCAAGTGATGTATATCGAAACCGGTGCTGCGCCCTCCCTCCATTGAGTAACCTGTTGCGGCATGTAAACGTGGGCATTGGGGAGACCGTGGTGGCCGGGGGGGTGTCATGTTGGCCATACCAACCGCTTGTGTGCCGTGCCACCCTTAACAAGTGCTCGCTTGCCAGTGCTTCGATGGCTATGTATGCACTGTATGTTAAACTTCTTTCGCGGCGTACACAGCCAACCGCACTAGTCGGAGGTGCGGCGGTGGCCTTTGACTATGCTGGTGGTCATTGACTTTGTGTGCGTGTGTTTGTGTCTGTGCGCGCATCATACGTCCTCATCGTCGCCAGCCGTGGTCACCCCTGGTCTCCCCGGGCGAGGATTACCAGGCCCGCCTGGCCCAATGGGACCGAAAGGCTTCTCTGGAGAGAGGGGACATAAAGGCAAGTCTCGTCACCGTTACCGTTCATCATCGTGTGGTGGTTGGTTTGGTGGCCAAAACAAAACACCAGGTGTAGCCAATCCTGCCCAATGCGTGTGTAGTGTATGTACGTTGAATTTATTTTGCACCGTACTTAACCAACCGTGCTAATCGGATGTTTGGGGGAAGGACAACAAACGAACTCACGAAAAGCAGTTCTAAAGATATGGGTTTGCAATTTAGAAAATGAGTTTTCAATTGTGGGTCCCACTGGCCTACTTAAGGCTAGTCCGCCTCTAGTAACCCACAGGTTACCACAATATTGTCTGCATTGCTTACATGGCAATGCACACATCATGGTTGCCATTTGAACAGGGGGTTGTCCTAGACCAGCTTTGTTTAAAAAAATTCAGCTTAATAGAATAACACCTTTCATGACATCAATGGGTAGTCGGTGATGATGATGAAAACATCTTTGAATTAATCAGTAGTTTTATCGTAATATTGGCCACGGAAACCTATGTGTTAAGTTCAACAAAATATAACATTTCACTTCCTTGAGAGTTCAGACCGATCCTGCTGTACGACAGGTGGGCACAGGAAGCGAACGGCCGGACAACTGAACTTACACGCGCGCAATGTGTTTTCCCCCCGCGCATCTCTGCAGGCGACAAAGGCGACACGTGCCGGGATTGTTTCGGAGGAGTGGGGCCCGGTCGCCCAGGGTTACAGGGACCTCCTGGTCCCCCTGGCATGCGAGGTTTCGACGGTACGTTTGCCGACGCGAGAGGAGGCCGCCGCGTGCCAATCACCAGCGTCCCGTTTTTTTCTCCCTTGTCGCTCTTTTTATCGCTACTGCCGTGGCCGGCGCCATCAGGAATATCACGCCACGCCATGCATCGGTGAGCGATGACGATGTCGAGGGGGGCTCGTCTGAAACGCGCAAATCGCAGGACAGCACTCACAGATGCAGTCTCGGTACAGCTGATTCTGGCAAACCGCCTGATGAAGCTGGTTGTAATCACTGGCGAAACTTCATACTCAAATTTGTAAATGTTGTAGTGGGTTTACTCTCCCAATACACTGGTGTGCTGAAGTACTAACCAATTTGCACGTCTTGTTTACGTGACAAACCTTACTAATTGGCCGTGTCGGGTGGTAGCGGGTTAACGACATTTTTATATTCACGCAATCTAACCTAAAAACACCTATATTATTAATATTGCTTTGCGAAAGCCTACTACTACTATGTCTTACACTGGTCGGAACAGACGCAAACTGCACCTCTGCTGGGACCTGGCAGCAGACATGCCACCAGGTGCTGTCCCCTTCAGCCCGAAGGCTGCATCACCGCCATCTTGGATCATCCTTCTTGATTCTGGATGTGTCTCGCCTGGGCTGACAGCAGCCGATTTTACGTCGGGTGCCCAATTTGTAATCCTGCTGCAATGTATTACGTGTATTTATCATGTGTAATTTAGATTTAAAGCTTTCGTGACTGCAGGGATTCATATTCTTGGTTCTTTCGGTAAAGTCACATAGAAAGGAAACAATAAAATAATAAAAATATAAAACAATAAAATTCTCACGACGTTTCGACTGCAACACAAGCAATCATCATCAGGTGTGAAAACTCACGGCAAGAAATTTTGAAAAAGTGGTGGTTTTTTAACATTAGCACCACAGAGAGTGATTTGACAGTTTGTTCAGATGGACGAGTCCATCTATGTTCAGAAAAGAGGAGGGGGGAGACGAAAAATAATGGATGCGGTCTGAAAGCTACCTTAAGCATGATCAATCAATTAAGACCCGAAATGGTTTATCATATCCTTCCAATGATTGCTAAGCCAGAATCCATCTTCTCGGTTGAAATTGTCTCTGTGTTTGTATATGTGGATAGCCTCATAAACGAGTCTCTCATGGTAGCCAGGTGGCTTGCAAAGAACCTCTGTCTTGGAGAAGTCAATGTCATGTGAGCCTACTGAATTATAACAGTGATCTGCCACGGCCGAGGTGTTGGTCCTTCCGTGTTTCAGGTCTGCTTTATGTTCACGAATGCGGTCCGAGACATGTCGTTTGGTTTCTCCAATGTAACTACTACCACAGAGGCAACTTAGTTTGTAGATGCCAGGGTACTGTATGTCCGGAATCACATCTTTTACAGACGGAATCAGATCACGGATTTTATGTAATGTGTTGAATCGAACCTGGATCTTGTGTTTATTCAAGATTTTGAAGATCTTTTTTGTGATGGTTTTGAAAGGCTCCTCAAGAGGGTCCTTCTTCATGGTTGGAGTGATAGCTTTACGAATTGTGTAGTCGGAATAACCATTAGCCTTAAGAGCTTGGTGTACGTGCTTGAGTTCACTGGCTATGTGTTCCTGGTTGGATATGCATTGGGCTCTATGGTGCAGAGGCTTGATGAGGGAATTCTTCTGGCATGGATGATTCAACCGCATTAATTGATCAAACCAAACAGTTCTCGTTGAAACCTTCTGCTGCCAGGCCACCAAGATTATACGGCTTACCAAAAATACATAAAGTAGATACACCCCTTCGTCCCATCGTCTCTACTATCAACTCCCCCACCTACAAACTGGCTCGTTTTCTGTCTGAAATCCTGCGGCCTTTCACTGGAAAAACCACCTCTGGTGGTATCGACAATCAAGGGCATTTCCCTGTCCTCAGACGACCTGCTTGTCAGTTTTTATGTAATTTCATTATTCACCAAAGTTCCTGTACCTGACACCATCGCAATCATTGAAGACTTGGTTCATCAAGGACTAAACACTGAGGTACCCCCCCTGGTGAGACACTGCTTAACCAATACATACTTCACTTGGAATGGAACTTTCTACAAACAAACTGAGGGCACCCCAATGGGCTCCCCCCTATCTCCGGTTGTAGCCAACATTTTCATGGAAAAATTTGAGACTGACGCCATACAGACTGCCACTCTGCGCCCAACCTTATGGAAGAGGTACGTGGATGACACTTTTGTCATCTGGCCACATGGCCGGCCTGCTCTAGACCAATTCTTCGACCACATCAATTCCATACACCCAGCCATCAGATTTACCATGGAAGTCGAAAAAGATGGCAAGCTATTTTTTTGGATGTCCTAATAAAAAAGAGACGTGATGGTTCAATGAGCCACTCTGTCTACAGGAAAGATACCCATTTGGATGCTTACCTGAAACCGGATTCCCACCACCATCCATCCCAGAATAATTCCCTCATCAAGACTCTGCACCATAGAGCCCAATGCATATACGACCAGGAACACATAGCCAGTGAACTCAAGCACGTACACCAAGCTCTTAAGGCTAATGATTATTCCGACTACACAATTCGTAAAGCTATCACTCCAACCATGAAGAAGGACCCTCTTGAGGAGCCTTTCAAAACCATCTCTTTACCCTACATTGCGGGGATCACAAAAAAGATCTCCAAAATCTTGAATAAACACAAGATCCAGGTCCGATTCAACACATTACATAAAATCCGTGATCTGATTCCATCTGTAAAAGATGTGATTCCGGACATGCAGTACCCTGGCGTCTACAAACTAAGTTGCCTCTGTGGTAGTAGTTACATTGGAGAAACCAAACGACATGTCTCGGACCGCATTCGTGAACACAAAGCAGACCTGAAACACGGTAGGACCAACACCTCGGCCGTGGCAGATCACTGTTATAATTCAGTAGGCTCACATGACATTGACTTCTCCAAGACAGGTTCTTTGCAAGCCACCTGGCTACCATGAGAGACTCGTTTATGAGGCTATCCACATATACAAACACAGAGACAATGTCAACCGAGAAGATGGATTCTGGCTTAGCAATCATTGGAAGGATTTGGTAAACCATTTCGGGTCTTAATTGATTGATCACGCTTAAGGTGGCTTTCAGACCGCATCCATTATTTTTCGTCTCCCCCCTCCTCTTTTCTGAACATAGATGGACTCGTCCATCTGAACAAACTGTAAAATCGCTCTCTGTGGTGCTAATGTTAAAAAACCGCAACTTTTTTCAAATTTTCTTGCTGTGGGTTTTACACCTGTTGATGATTGCTTGTATTGCAGTGGCAACGTCGTGAGAATTTTATTGTTTTATATTTTTATTATTTTATTGTTTCCCTTCTACGTGACTTTACCAAAATAACCAAGAATATCATGTGTAATGTTTGTATTTAAGCGAATGTTGTGCTAAGCTTGTGTTTATTATGTTGAAGGTGCTCAAGGTAACCCAGGCCTGAAGGGAGACAGAGGGTTTGCTGGCAACCCAGGCTCTCCAGGTTCGCGAGTAAGTATTTTAAGCTTCAATAAAGTATTTTTTGTTTTTTTTATATATGAAACGTTTAGTGTTTACAAAAACACTGCTTGTGTGCACAGTTAAGTGTTCATTGTTTCACTCGTGGGTGGTGCTGGCTCCATTGGAAGCCCAATGCAGATATTATTTCCGCCACCAACCCCACCCCCCACCTTTCAATATAAAAACTCAGTGTAAGAAGGAACCCAAGAGCTCCTTGATGAATCCTGTAACAGGGGTGTGTGTACCACAGCCAATCGGTTGAAATGTGTTGGTGAACAAAATAATAATTCTACGTTTGTTCGTTTTCAGCAATGGCGTTCGAATACAATCAAATTAAAAGTAAATGCTTGCCGCTCACTGTCTCTGAACAGGGATTTCCTGGGGAGTCAGGCCCCCAGGGGCCCCCAGGAATGAAGGGGGATCCTGGAGACGCACTGGGCCTGCCTGGGCTGAAGGGAGACAAGGGCGACACGGGTTTCTCCGGGTCTCCTGGGCCTGCTGGGCTCGAGGGCCGCCCTGGTGTGGATGGGCGGCCTGGGAACCCCGGTGCTAAGGGCGACCCTGTGAGTGCTCCCTTTGACGGCGATGACAAGTAGCAGATGTTTTTGCGTTTCGTTCCAATTTGTGTTCTCGTGGTGACGACACGATTACCACGGTTGGCTACATACGTTTGCGAAAAGAAGTTCAACAATGACAACAACGACAACAACAAGATGAAATGTCCATTTGGAAGGCTCGCAGAGCAGGGCTACGAATATATCACAGAACAAGTTCTGAGAACTCTTGTAAGTGATTTAGTTAATCCACAACCCTCGGGAGCACACTTTCTCGCATGCCCTGCTGTAGAGAAATGTTTGTTAAGTGGGAGTAATAGCAATAATTGTTTTAATTCTCAGAGTAAGTATTGTGGGGCCCTCCTGCAAAGAAGTTGGGTAAAATGTAAACAATATAATTGCTAATTAAATGTGTTTGTCCACTCTTCGAGGCAGGTCAGGTCATGGTTCTATGAAAAGGAAAATCACACTTGCATTTTGGAAATGAAAATATGCTTATAGAGGTTATGGTGTCACTGCTCATCCTTTTACCCCCAACCAGATTGTCTTGCTCAAAGCTTGAGTGACAAAACGAACGACTGATTAGCTACTCGTTAAGAAATGAAACATCGTCTCTCTCTCTCTGCCTGCCCGCGTGCTCGCCCAGGCTCCGTTTGGCGTGAAAGGCGAACGGGGGGCGCCAGGAGACCAAGGCCAGGCCGGCCTGTCCGGGGAAAGAGGGCAGCCTGGCTTGCCTGGTTTCGGCCCCCCAGGATACCAGGGGATGAAGGGAGTCCAAGGGGTGCCTGGTCGTACCGGCCCACCCGGCCCACCAGGTCAGCCATGCTATTGCCTTTTTTACCCCATGTCTGTGTATTTTTCTCCCCGCTGTTTTCTTACGTACATTTATATCGCAGCGTCTTGGTCCAAGGGGCTTTACAATAATTATAAAATAGTAGATGAGATGATAGTGGTTAACATGAAGAGTTTGGGTTGTTAAAAGTGGTGGTGGAGCTATGGTGACAGGAGAACAGGTGGGAGGGGTTCGGGTAGGAGTAGTGATAGGGGTTGGGGTAGTGATAGGGGTAAGGGGTAGTGATAGGGGTAGTGATAGGGGTTGGGGTATTGAAAGGGGTTTGGGTAGGAGTAGTGATCAGGGTTGGGGTAGTTATGATAGGGGTTGGGGTAGTGATCAAGATTTGGGTAGTGGTCAGGGTTGGGGTAGTGATCAGGTTTGGGGTAGTGATAGGGGTTGGGGTAGTGATCAGGGTTGGGGTAGTGATGATAGGGGTTAGGGTAGTGATCAGGGTTGATGTAGTGATAGGGGTTCGGGTAGTGATCAGGGTTGTGGCAGTGATCAGGGTAGGGGTAGTGAGGATAGAGGTTGGGGTAGTGATAGGGGTTGGGGTAGTGATCAGGGTAGGGGTAGTAATCAGGGTTGAAGTAGTGATGATAGAGGCTGGGGTAGTGATCAGGGTTGGGAGGGTGATAGGGGTTGGGGTAGTGATCAGGCTTGGGGTAGTGATATGGGTTGGGGTAGTGATAGGGGTTGGGGTAGTGGTAGGTGTTGGGGTAGTGATAGGGGTTGGGGTAGTGATAGGGGTTGGGGTAGTGATAGGAGTTGGGGTAGTGATAGGGGTTGGGGTAATGATCAGGGTTGGGGTAGTGATCAGGGTTGGAGTAGTGATAGGGGTTGGGGTAGTGATCAGGGTTGGGGTAGTGATCAGGGTTGGGGTAGTGATAGGGTTTGGGGTAGTGATCAGGGTTGGGGTAATGATCAGGGTTGGGGTAGTAATCAGGGTTGGGGTAGTGATCAGGGTTGGGGTAGTGATGATAGGGGTTGGGGTAGTGATCAGGATTAGATAGTGATCAGGGTTGGGGTAGTGATAGGTGTTGGGGTAGGCTTGTGGTTGTAGCTGAGGAGCCGGGGCAGGAAGTAGCAGTATGATGGGGAAGGAAGAAAAGATGGGTATTCGTATTGGAGGAACAGAAGCCATTGAGTGACAGTGAGGGCTTTATGTGCAGTGGGAGTTTGGAGGCGTTGTGCTCTCAGCGTCATGCAACGAGACAAAGTGTCCATTCTTATCTCTCGCAGGGCAGTGCATCAAGGCCGTAGCCATGGAGTCAACATGGGAGGGGGGGGGGCAAATATTCCAGAGGGTCTGAGGGTTCCCCCCTCCCAGAAAAAAAATCTAAATTTGAAAAGAATTTCCTGCCTAAAATATAAAAAAATTCACTAACACATAGGGTGGACTTTTGTTTTTACAATAATGTCTAATAGTGTATTGTATTACATTGCTCTGTTTTTTTTTTATCTTTTCTTGTTTCATTGTATGTAATGCCAGAGATTAGCGATTAATAAAGTGCAACCATAACCACAATCATATAAACAGAAATCTATTTGATAGCAATATATTGGGGGGGGACATTTTGAGCATATTTTAATATTGTGTCCCCCCCCCAATAAATATTATAATTACAGCCTTGCAGTATGCTGAACCAGGTGAGAGACTGGGGTAGAGTCTCATTTACAAAAGCTAAATAATTACCTGAACTAAAGCAGTGAAGAAAATATAAATCACAACTGTGTCATATAAGAAATTAACAATATTGCACTGTTACAAAATATACGTACTCCCTGCAGCGCAAGTTGGCTCGGTCATCATTATTTTTTATAGTGCTCATAGTATAATTAAATTACGGAAAACAGGTTTGACTACTGTTCGTAATATGCAAACGGACACGGATGTATGCGATATGTAATTGCTGTTGTTCTAATCTGTGGAACTGACCCTGGATTGTGAATCCCACTTAGGTGTGAAGGGGGAGCCAGGAAAGACAATGTCGGAGCCAGGACAACCTGGACCTCCTGGCTTACCTGGATCACCTGGATCCCCTGGCTCTCCAGGTGAGCGAGAGCCCCTCTGATTTCCCATCGTCTCGCACGACGCCTTTGTTCTACACTTCGGCTCCGTTTGCACGGACTCGCGACTTGTGTATGACCACATCTCGGAAACTAGGCAGGTTTGAGCCTGGATAGCGCTCGGACGAGTGACCACCACGAACGCCGTAGGTGGCTGCCCGGCTGTGCCACGTGGAGTTAAGCAGAGGGGGGCAGTGCAGCAAAATTCCTTAGTTGTACTGTGATTCTATGCCGCCACATCTATGCTCCCCACCACCGCACCTCCGATTAGCACCCGGGGCTTCGTACGGTGCGAAAGAAGTTCAACATAAATGCATACGTCACCAACCCGCGCCGAACAGCACGGTGAAGTAGGGTTGCATAACCCTCGCTACCCGCGCGGCGTGAGAAGGCCATCATCCAGCAGTGGATTTGCACGTATTCGCACCGCCACGTAGCGCGAGCCGCGACAAGGAGTGCTCAGGCCGGCTGCAGAGAAACCTGACGTCTATCCGAATGCAGAGGTCGCGTGGTGCGACTTGATTTGGCTCTCAGCTGGAGACCTATTGCGATCCGGGAGTTCTGTTTTCATCCCGGCGTCCTTGAACGTTGGTTCATTTCCATTGGCACGTAGCTGCGTTAATATTGTCCGGGAATAATAAAGGTTTTTGGGTTGGATCGCGTAAATATAAATGTGTCGTCAACCCACCACCGCCCGACACAGCCAACCAGTAAGGTTTGTCATGTACACAAAACGTGCCAATTAGTTACTATTTCAGCCCACCGGTGTGTTGGAGAGTAAATCCACAACATCTACAATTTTAGTACGACGTTTTGCTGGTAATGACATCCAGCATCATCAGGCGATTTTGCCACAATTGTAAAAAACCTTATGCGATTTACCCCCCCCCCCCAAAAAAAAAACCCCATTATGAATAATATTAGTCCTCAAAAGCCACCTACGTGTTCAACTATCCTCCGGGCGTCCGATCAGTCCCTCGTCACAGTTGGGTGCATCTCTCGAGTGTGCGCCTGCACACTGCGGAGGGGAGGGGGTGGTGGCATGTCGCTGTACATGCCATTGCTCTCGCGTGAGTTCACGGTTTTCGCCTTCCGCTCTACAGGCAGCTCGGGCATCCCTGGCTCCGCTGGATTGCCAGGCTTGCAAGGGGTGAAAGGCGACGCGGGCTTGCCAGGATTTGGGTCTCCTGGGCCACCCGGTCCAAAGGGTAGGACTTCCAAAAAGTTTCTCTCTTCCCCGTGTCTCTCTCTCTCTCCCGTTTCTCTCACTGTGTGTTCTCAATCTTTGCTGTCTCTCTCTCTTCTAGATTTGAAGCTTTCGTGACTGCAAGGATCCATACTCTTTGGTTCTATTCGGTAAAGTCACGTGACTTTACCGAATAGAACCAAAGAGTATGTCTCTCTCTCTCTCTCTGATGAAGCTGGTTGCAGTAATCATTGCTGTCTCTCTCTGATAAAGCTGGTTGTAGTGATCTTTGCTGTATCTCTCTCTGATGAAGCTGGTTGTAGGGATCGTTGCTGTGTCTCTCTGATGAAGCTGGTTGTAGTGATATTTGCTGTATCTCTCTGATGAAGCTGCTGTGGTAATCTTTGCTGTCTCTCTCTGATGAAGCTGCTTGTAGTGATCTTTGCTGTGTCTCTCTGATGAAGCTGGTTGTAGTAATCATTGCTCTGTCTCTCCCTGATAAAGCTGGTTGTAGTGATCTTTGCTTTATCTCTCTCTGATGAAGCTGGTTGTAGGGATCGTTGCTGTATCTCTCTGATGAAGCTGGTTGTAGTGATATTTGCTGTATCTCTCTGATGAAGCTGCTGTGGTAATCTTTGCTGTCTCTCTCTGATGAAGCTGCTTGTAGTGATCTTTGCTGTGTCTCTCTCTGATGAAGCTGGTTGTAGTGATCGTTGCTGTGTCTCTCTGATGAAGCTGGTTGTAGTGATCTTTGCTGTCTCTCTCTGATGAAGCTGGTTGTAGTGATCGTTGCTGTGTCTCTCTGATGAAGCTGGTTGTAGTGATCTTTGCTGTATCTCTCTGATGAAGCTGCTGTGGTAATCTTTGCTGTCTCTCTCTGATGAAGCTGGTTGTAGTGGTTGTTGCTGTGTCTCTCTGATGAAGCTGGTTGTAGTGATTGTTGCTGTGTCTTTCTGATGAAGCTGGTTGTAGTGATCGTTGCTGTGTCTCTCTGATGAAGCTGGTTGTAGTGATCGTTGCTGTATCTCTCTGATGAAGCTGGTTGTAGTGATCGTTGCTGTGTCTCTCTGATGAAGCTGGTTGTAGTGATCGTTGCTGTGTCTCTCTGATGAAGCTGGTTGTAGTAATCGTTGCTGTCTCTCTCTTCCTCCTTCTCCTTGTGCTCAATCCACACTTTTGCTCTTTTTCTCTTCTCGTCCCCCCCCTTCACTGGAACAAACTTCCCCCTCCACATTAAGCAGTCACCTTCACTCACTAGTTTCCACTCCGCACTCAAAACTCACTTATGTATTGTTACCCCTAGCTTACCCCACGACCCTCTTAATCTCTCCCTCATAATCGCCACCCTCTTCATATTCGCATTATATGGCTTTCACTCATTAACGCCCATTCATTCAATCCGTTCATCATCGTTAACTGTCATCAATTTCCCTTTCACCGAATTCACGCATCATCACAGACTCGCCCCCATTGCTTCCTCTCATCAATTTCATTCACCTCATCCTCCACCGTTACATTCATACGTTGTACCGTTGTTAATTCCTTGTAAAGCGCCTCGGTCGAGGAGCAATGTACATTCCTTTAAGATCAGATGAGATCTCGCAGAGTCTCTCAGCAGTCAGTGCACTGCAGCACGTATCCGGAAGCCGACGACGCCAGTGTGATGCCAGCCCACAGCTCACATTGGTGACACGTGATCATTATGCCACCCCCCCCCCCCCCCCTTTTAACAATCCGCACAGACTAGCGCGGCGAAGTATGGTCAAACAACCCCAATCACCGACATGGCGCGAGGGGGCATTCATCCAGCAGTGGATTATACGATATTATTCATTTTTACCTTTATCTATTTATGATTATTATGCTTGTTTATAGAAGTACGCCTCATTGAATCTCAAGCAAGCAAACACAGATATGTAAACTTCATATATATATATTTTTTAAAAAATATGGCTCTGTATATATAAAAGAAATGCAGTGTATTTTTTCTGGTAAATATCAGTGAAGTATACATTTTCGGGGTTTAAGTGGAGAGGGGGGGCACATTCCGTAGGCCCTCATAGCCACCCCCACCCCCCCTTCACCGATGAGTCTCAAGGCAAATTTTCACGAGATTCCTGCGAAGTTTTCGCAGAGAAGGGGGGCGACGAGATTGCTCTGTGTATCCCCAATGATCTCATTTGTATTGGCCGTGTCTGCGTACTCTGCAGGTAACCAAGGCAACCCAGGGTTACCAGGACAGCCAGGAGGACCTGGGCGCCCTGGACAAGACGGATTCCCGGGGAGCCCTGGACAGCCCGGACTAAAGGTGAGCTGTGACGTACACGTGCCAAGCGAGAGCAAGTAAACACGGATAAGAGGATGTGTTTTCTGCTGACTTCCGGTGGGGTAGATTGGTTCGGGGGGGGGAGGGGGGGGCGGGGCAGTATATGTATCCTATTGAATATAGCAATTCCTCGTTTAATGGCGTAAATGCTTTCCTGAAAAGTGCCGCGTTAAGCAACAAACTACGCACGATATGAATTCTAAATTATATATATATTTTTTACTACCCGTGGGATCCGGCCCCACCAGTCCGTAACGACGAACGACCATCTCACCGCTCCACCTTTGCGTCCGCGTCGTCGTCCCATCACAGGGTGACGGAGGCGTTGGTTCCCCGGGCCCCCGTGGACCTCCGGGGTCTCCTGGCCTCGACGGACTGTCCGGTTCCAAGGGAGACAGCGGCTTCCCCGGCCTGCCGGGGCAACCGGGCAGGCCGGGGCTCGACGGCGTGCCGGGAACCAAGGGTACGCAGACCACCGTGCTCGCTCGAGTCGCCACGGGTCTTTGTGTGGCCTGAGTACAGAGCGACTTGCGAAATCCTAGAAAGTGGCGCAAAGTTCGGTTGAGGACACAACGTGTCATCGCTCCGGTTGGGTTGGAGAGTTAAGGCGATTACGGCGTCGTCAAGCTGGGGAGAGAACTCTGGGGTGGTCGTGACCGCTCACTCGTGCGACAATTGTCAAAGTAGAAAGAACATGAACTGATAATAAAAAAACCGCAGCATAATCGATTATTATTAGTAACATTAACAATGCTACTGGTGACCTTGCGCTCTCATTTTTTCGGACATTATAACTGAGTTAAATGATGACGTCACCCTGCTGCTGCTGCTCTATTTAAGACCGGGAGCAAGTGAGGGCTTCACCATTCTGGCGAATTGCCCGATGATGCTGGATGTAATTACCAGCGAAACGTCGTACTCAAAAAATTGTAAATGTTGTGGATTCACTCTTCAACACACCGGTGGGCTAAAGTAGTGAACTAATTGTCTTTTGTCAACGTGACACTTTTTTTGCTGATTGGCCGTGTCAGGTGGTGGAGGGTTACGACACATTTATAAATAACGCGATCTAACCCAAAAACGTTTATTATGGATTACTGAGGGTGTTATATTAATATATATTTCAGTTGTAAAGCGTTGCTGCAGGGTAGATTGGTGGTGCACCGGCGAGCGTGCCGCACCGCGCTAACTCGGCAAATCTGACTTTTTGACGGCTGGCTCATGGCTCCCAAAGTGGACGCATACGGCCTCCTTGTCACCGGGGCTGGTGGGTGCCCTCGCTCACCAAGTCGGCACGGTGTGAAGGTCATGGGTCAATCAACTGCCGCAACCAGCGTGGAAAATGGGCGAGGCTTTCATCCCACGGTGGATGGACAGAGTGCTGTAAACGACAGGGGTTCTCTATGTTTGCGTTAAGGCCATGCCTATCCAGTGCTCGCTGAGCTGCAGTTGCTGAACGAATACATTATAAAGTCGCACTCATTACACAAACTTCTTGCCACAAATGAACCACAATACCTTGCTGATATCGTCAAGGACCATAAACCATCTGCTCATCCTCGCAGCGGCTTTTGGCTAACCGTCGAACAAAGACGGTCACCGCATCGCACGCTTTCAGATGCGCTTTTGCGGCCCGTCTGGAACGTTCTTCCTTCCACTGGGTGCTATGCACTGTTAAATCCTAGATTAAAAGCTCAGTTCCTTAAAACTGCTTTTGGTGTATAATTTGTTGTCCTTCCCCCGCAGCTGCGAAAGAAGTTCAACGTGCGTACATACAAGGCAGCGTGTTTTCACACTGCCTTGTTTTCACGCTGCCTTGTATGTGCGTCCACTGGCCTCATGAAGTAGACGGCACTCGGACCCGTTGCAGACATCTCGAATAGGACGTTTTGGCTACGTGCGGTCAGAATAGAAGTTCACCGTACATACGTACATACATGCAAACGTCTCGTCTCTTATTCCTGTAGGAGACGTCGGGAATTCGGGATTGCCCGGTCGCCCGGGAGCACAGGGCCCCCCTGGACAAGGATTCCCAGGAGCTCAAGGTCCCCCAGGATCTCCGGGACAAGTTGGACCTGAAGGTGACAATTTCCGCACTGACAATTATGATAATGATGATGGTGGTTATGATGATGCTTCCAACAATAATGCTGCTTATTATAATGATGATGGCGTTCATGGTAATGATTACAATGGTTATGATGATGATGATGATGACGATCCTGGAAGAATGATGATTTTTATGATAATCATGATGACAACACTCGTGATGATTATGAAGATGCTTACAAAGGCAATAGTGGTGATAATGACTATGATGACAGTGACACATGCAATGATGCTTATCGTATTGATGATGGTTACAATTATCATCGCCGTCATCATGATGATGATGACGGTGATGATGTTTGCGATGGAAACGCTTATCGCTATGATGATGGTGATGAACGGCGATAACAATGAATATAATCGTTTATTCATTTAACCGGGTGAGAACTCAAGAGACCTGGATAGTATAATTAGCAAGAGTGACCTGAATGACGATTGATGCTGACGATTGATGTGCATGACCAGGTTCACCAGGGCCGAAGGGAGACAAGGGAGACTACGGAGCCCCAGGATTGAACATGCCGGGACCTCCAGGAGACAGGGGCAACCCTGGTTTCCCCGGCACGCCCGGTGGCATTGGATCACCAGGATCGCCGGGACAGCCCGGAAGGAACGGCTTCCCAGGCACACCAGGCAAGGCTTCCCCCCTTCCCGGTTGAAATTTTGCTCGGCGATTCCACCACCCGTGTAGAGGACTCAGGAAGTCAACCCGCGTCTGCTCTTGTCTTCAATCGCTGCCCTCTCTTGCAACCGCTGACAGGGTTGAACGTTCCACGTGAACCCGTGGTGCCCACCGCTTGTCCCCCGTACGTCGCCGTTGTTTCATGCAAGCTGCCTTGCACCACTTGTTCCTGCTGTGGACGCGGTGTGGATGTGCGTGACGGTGCGCGCACGTGTACCACCACGTAGGTCGTACGTTTTTGTAGATGTGGGGTATACGGTTTCCCTCACTTTACGCTGTTCGATTTGTGCGATTTCGCACCGTGAATGCGGCTGGAACCTCTTTATATCCAAAATTCGCTTTGTTATGCAGTTTGGATTCACTCTGCGTTCGGATATACGGTCGGACGCGGGACATTGTGGACTCGGTGCACTGCTCGGCAGGCAGCTGTCCCGTCTGGTGCATTGTGGGCTGACTTACTATGTGGTCCACGCTATGCAATTACGCTTTGTGCACCCTCTTTTTGGAATGCATCTACCGCATAAAACAAGGGGCACCTGTACGTGTCATTACGCGTGCACTTTGTGTCACCTGACAACCTTTCTTATTTCGATTTCCGAGTTCATTGCCTGATGACGCTCGAAGTGAATCATCGGCATCGTGCTTTGTCGTTGAAAAGTCTCAGGCCAGCGGTGTGGAGGAGTAGCTTTATCAGTCATAATTTGATCGATGCGTCGGCCGTGTCTTAGAATGAGACATTAGTGGAAGGCGCCATACAAATAATTGTAAATTATTAGCATTATTCTTAAATTGCATCTCTGTAAACGTGGCACTTTGGTTGGCATGGTGGAGGTATAACGATGAAGAATTTTGGCTATGAAACCACGGCTTGGTCGAAAACCTACTTTGAAAAAACCTGCGTGTAAAGTTGAACGACTTTTAACGAATGGATACGTCCCGTGTTGTTTTCTAGGTTCCAAAGGAGACATGGGAGTCATGGGGACACCTGGGGCCTCTGGTCCTCCTGGTCCTTTTGGGCAGATCGGCCCACCGGGACCCAGAGGTAGGCCTTAGTTGCACAATGTTTTTAACCCTGTCGAATGTGGACTCCGGGATCAGAATTCGATATATTAGTTGGACCTAAAGGTGTGATAAAAATACAACTCAAATCGCAATTTCTCTTTCCCCTGCTCCATCCCTCTCCCTGTGGGGGTATGGGGGGAGGAGTTCAATTGTTATTTAATATTTTGACCCCGGGGTCAGAATTCAATGGGGGTCAAATGTTATCTCGAATTTACATACATAAAACTTGGCAATTAAACAAACTATTAAACACAAAATTAAATGTCACCCCACAGTCCCTTCCATATAGCTGATGCAAATCCATGAAGACCACTGCCTTCTACAGCAATTGTGGTTTCTGTGTGCGTGTGTGTAATGCACTACCAGTGGGAGAGCGGTAGTGTCGCGGTTAGCGCGCTGTGCTACAAACCCAGATACCCAAGTTCGATTCCCGCTCATGGACAACACCAGTGACGATTATCTGAACTGGTCCTGGGCCTCCCCTAGGACGACTCAGCCTCAAATGAACACCTGGTGCAGTGCGTAAAAAACACTGCCGCTGGGGAGACAAAGGCGGCCGGGCGTGGTGTTCGCCACCCACCCCCTGCGTATGCCATGCCGGCCCTCACTGGTGCCGCTCGCTAACGGCACTTGCCCCAACTGCCTGTTACAGGCTACACGGGGATGGGGGGGAGGGGTCTTTGTTTTGTGCTGTGTGACGCACTATGAGTCTGATAGCTGGTAACCGTGGTGATGCGGCACGTGTGTTTTGTGTTCTGGCCGCGCTGTGCGATCTTCACAGGCAACGAGGGGCAGCCTGGCCTGCCAGGCGAACCGGGCGACTTGGGCTTCAAGGGAAACAAAGGCGATCCTGGGATCCCCGGCCCATCCGTCCCCATTGGCACTGTGACAACGAAGGGAGAAAAGGGAGAGAAAGGGGCTGGTGGTGAGTGATATAGCATAACGACGACGATGACGACAACACGGTGACGATGATGTCGACAATGCGTGTGTATACATGGTAATTTAAACCTTTAATGGACCGGCACAGTTATCCACTTGCGAATGACCTGGGAACCACAGGCAAGGCAGGAAGGCTGCAAGGGCGACAAATGATGTGCCATGTATGTGCAACGGAGAAGGATCATCGCCTGTTAGATATTTTTCTATTGAAGGCCGCAGCGTTATTGACGAATGAGCTGAGTTGTGTCTTCTTCAGTTGTGCCCAGCCCACCCCCCCCCCTCTGATCGATACCTCCACAGCTCTCCCCTCTGTTCCTACAGCCCCGCTGAGACACCAAAAAGTCAACGGTCTTATTTTGCATATGTACACGTCCTTGTGCCAGTGCCAAAGCGACTTGCTAATTCCTCACGCTGGTGCTTTGTAGGTACTCCTGGCATGCCAGGCCCCAAGGGATTCCAAGGAGTGCCTGGCGCCAATGGGCAGCCTGGTCAGGCGGGTCTTCCCGGGACACATGGCCAGTCAGGTAAGATCACTACCAAGCACGGGTCGAGTATCTCGCTATGGTGAAAGTTAACAGCGCGAGATGCGTGGGGTTTCCCAACCCCCCACCCCGCCGCCATCAAACTTTTTAAGGTCACCCCGTCGGCTACAGTGCCAGCGTAATGTCACGCACGTATTTGATTGACAGTAAAAAAAACAAAGCGTCAAGAGTAGTATGTACTTCCGGCTGTGTCGGCATCATGGTCGACATTACACCGCAAATTACTCCCCCCACCGACTGTAAAAAAAACATGCCAAGACCCTCGTGGCAAAGAGTCATGAGAATCGGTGAGACTTTTCTGGGTAAGCATGCCGCATAAAACAAAAAAAGACATGGTCCACTGAGTTTAACTATGACTAACTAGTTATGACTAACTGGATGACCGGTTGACAGCAGCGTGGACGAGCGAAACAAGTTCAAATTTTGATTTTAAGCTTTCGTGACTGCAGTAATTCATATTCTTAGCTCTTTCGGTAAAGTCACGTTGAAGGGAAACAATAAAATAATAAAATATATATAAAACAATAAAAAAAATTCTCACGACGTTTCGACCATAACACAAACGGTCGTCATCAGGTGTGAAAAACCTGATGACGACCGTTTGTGTTATGACCGTTTGTGTTATGGTCGAAACGTCGTGAGAATTTTTTTATTGTTTTATATATATTTTATTATTTTATTGTTTCCCTTCAACGTGACTTTACCGAAAGAGCTAAGAATACGAAACAAGTTTATTTTACCGAAGTACAAAACCTTGTATTTTTTGTTAGCATAGGGGACCACTTAATGGCAGCAATGCCTGCGCGACGCAAGATGTGTGCGGCACCGGCCTGAAAGTGAGCATTCGACTGCCAGTCAGTGGTGAAGTTGCTATTGGTTTTACCTTTCAAATTACAAAAAATATTCTGCAAACACGTATATCTTCTGACACTTTAGATGGCATTGACCCAGTACGATTTTCTTAAATCCAGTGAATGTGTTCAGTGGGTATTCCCCTTTAACTCTGTTTGAAATATATGCAAAACAATTCCTGTACGGTATTGCTTTGTATCGCATTTGCATCAAACCACATCATATTCTTATTTGTGCATATAAAACATCAATGTTATATTCTCTCCCCTTATATTACGGTGTAGTACAACGTCACATATCTGACAGTCACGTATCCGTCCTGACCAATTAACTGCCCCTCCCTCCCCTCTGAACCAGTGCGGTATATGCACGTGGTAGAAGCACAGCAACTCTCTTTAGCTGTTGACAGATGTGATCTTTTTACGTACAGTCAGGCATTCTTAATTGGCGTTCATTTTCTCGATCATATGTCCGGTCCCAGAGATGTAACTGCTCAAAGTGAGCTACTAGTCCTTTGGTATTTGCATTGGCCTTGTGCTGTACGCCTTTTTTGCGTTCTCTGATCGAACACTGGTGAACCAATGCCATAGAGGAAGCTGTCTCTGGTGTCGGCCAATCCGTTTCAAAGACAATGCATACATTATCAAAGGACGTTTCTTTGCATGTTTTGCCACAAGGATGTGTGGCTAATGAAACCTTGATGCCTTGCAAGAGATGTCTATTTGGTGTTTGAACATCTTAACACCTTTCTTTTTGCCAGAAAGGGTAAAGCCTCTTCCTTTTTCATCGTATGTCTGCATGTCGTGTGACTGGATGCGTAGCTCTCTTTAGCCGCTCGCAATGACACTGTAGAGAAAGACTGGAAGATGACGAACTTCTCTGGTGACGAGGCCACGGTCTTACTGGACAGGACGCGCGGATGCCACTGATAATGCACGTCCGCTTTTGCACAGGTCCCAAAGGAGATTCTGGATTCCCAGGCAATCCTGGCCAACCTGGGCAGCCGGGTCCCAAGGGCTCCATGGGAGAGATGGGCTTTCCAGGTACGTAACAGGAATATCAAGGATCCCAAATACCTCTTCCCCATTGCTTGTCTATCAGTCGATCTGTCTGCCTGTCTGTAACACGCGGGTTTGTGATAACTGTTGAGATGTGAATATAAAGTTGTGTTGCTAAATTAGACTTACCCGATAGATAACTGGCAAAATATATTGACACGTTTCCAAAAACTTGGCATAAACAAACACCCCAGTGTCAAATGGAAAGTTTTTTTCGGCCAAGGCCTTGTGTAAAACACGCTAGTCCCTGCGACGTTGTCATGTGCGACGTCATAATGTGTAACGTCATCACCCGACATCACACCTCATGTGACGTCATTTAATTTGCGCGCCTCGGGAGGTAAAGCGATAATGGCAATTGCAGTACTTCTGAGGGCAAAATGTATCTCAGAAAGCCTAACAGAATCCATGCCTGTGCTTGATTACATGTTTTCCCTAACTTTGTTTTGTTCTGTGTACAGGTCCTCCTGGTTCAAAGGGCATTCCGGGCAACCCAGGTCTCCAGGGTTCCCCAGGATCTCCTGGATTCTCTGGCATGAAAGGAGCTAAGGGCGAGTCTGCCCAGCCAGGCCAAGGAATTCCTGGACCGCCTGGCCCAAAGGTGTTTTATGTCATTTTCAAAACAAGAACGGTTTCGCCTTTTTCTCAGTTTAGTTCCAATTGTGCTACCCGGGTCGTGCCATTTTGAACTCTGTGCAGAGAAGTGAAAATGCGTGTGTTGGGGAACGGTTCCTCAGAAGGGGATGTCACAGAACTCTTTCCTGAGTTCCCGTAAAGTGACAAGTTTTTTGTTCACACGCTAAGCGCACGCACATGCCCTGTTGCGGGAAGAATGTTTCGTTCCCACAGATTTAATCCTCGCGAGTTGGAATTTAGCCTAATCGAGTGAATAATGTAATGTAATGTGACCTTTGTGTGTTCAGTCGCTGCTCACCGGGTCGAGACCATCAACTCACTCAACTTGAAAAACCCAGTAAAATCACAGGCAGTGGCTTAGACCCTGGAGTCAAGCCCAGCATCTCAGCGATGCCGGCTCAGTGTTCTGACCCCTGATAAATTCGGCCACCTCTGTTCAATTTCCTGTAGTCCAGCACTGTGGAGGCAGAGCCCCCACTCACGGGTCAGTAGGTGCCAGGTTGTTTTTCCACTGCAGAGGCCAAGCTGTGCCGCTATCGTCGCACACGATGGTGCACGTATGTACGTATGTTGAACTTCATGACAACTGTGCTAATCTGAGTGTCTCGATAGCTTGGCGACGCTGTATCCTCGCCGATATCAGACACTGAAAAGACATTGTTCAACCACCCTTGTCCCTGCCTGGCCCCCGAAGCAGCTTGAGATGGTCTCGTGGGAGCCAACATATCGTGGTTTGGTCAGCTCTCAACACGGACAATAGCTAGTGGAAAACCACCCATATGGCTCCGATGTGCCAGTGGAAAAGGGATACCACTCTCCCATATGGAAGAGGCCATCCTGCCGTGCCTCCCATCTCTCACATTCAAAGCTGGCTGGGTTACCAAGGCCGGAGTTGAGAAGCACTGCTGTACAAAATGCAGGCTGCATCCACCCGGTGCTCCCCTTGAGTCGACCAAGCATTCACTCGCGTGTAATAATTACTATTGCGACTTTCTCTTCTTAAACAGGGTGATGTAGGGAGCCCCGGATTCAATGGACCACCTGGACAGAAAGGTTCCCCGGGAACTCCTGGCCTTCCCGGGCTTCCCGGCAATCCGGGTTCAAAGGGAGAACACGGGCAGCCAGGATTTCCAGGTAATTTTGAGAGAAATCTGGCCGGTGCTTAGCAGGAGAGCGCCACTCGGTGGGGTAGTCAACAGTCGTTATCCTATGGATAGACTCACCCCACCCACCCCCCCCCCCCCCCCCCGCCAAACAATGTGGTAACTCCCACCACAGGGTTGTAAACATAACATCACCGCTGACCCTCAGTGGTCATTTGAGCAGAACATCCCCTGGAGTTCAGTACTCTGGTCACGGCACGTACCGTAAAAACAATGCTAGGTAACGATGAGAATTAGCATTTATAGGGCACTTTAAATGCCTCAGCAACTCGAAGTTCCTTGCATCACGGCTCATCTCAACCATTCTAAAGCTATCCTGCAGTCGAGCTGAGGGACCCACCAGTGGCAATTATCCCTTTTGCGGCCCAAAGTACTGGGCATAATTATTCTATCCATAGGGGGCGATGTTGAAATGTTTTTTTCACAATGAAGCTATATTTTCAAAATTGGCAAATTTGGGCCATCATGCTGGCATACATGGCCTATAATCAGCAACAGATTGTATACGATGATTGCCAACAGTGGAGAGAACTGCTTTTGGAATTTCATGGATCCAACGACCTCTGTAAAGCGGTTACATGGGAAGAAGAGATGAATGCTCCGTGTATCGTCTTGTGTATGATTGTCTTTTTAATCTATCATTGGATTTATTTTTGTTTTACGTTTAGGCAACCCAGGGCTTCCAGGTTCTAAAGGTCAAGATGGATTCCCCGGAGGACCAGGCCGTCCCGGAGGCCCAGGCTTGCCAGGTAAACGCATCGCCACGCCCTGTGACCCACTGTCACGGCTATAGGCGCAGGCCTGCAATTTCTGGCACACCCCACTGCTGACAGAAGGCCATCTGCTGGAGGGAGCTTTCAGATGGCCTCCCTGGACGATGCTTATAGCCGTCTCTTCCACGCGTATGGGGATTGAGAGTTATCCCCCCCGTCGCACGGCCTGAATTTTCTCCAGGTACTCTGGTATCCTCCCACCTGTATAAACACTCATTGATGCATTTGGCCGAGCACCCCAATAGAAGACTGCGGGGCTTTGGGTAATCGTTGGCGCCGGTTCTGGCTGCCTTCTTGCTTGTCTGTGACTTCCCGCGCCTCTATGTGAAATCTGCGCAAAATTACAAATTCTACAGGTTCAAAATGCCATTAACGACTCTGCTGTATAAAAGTTTTTTTAAAAATATATATAGACATTATTTATTGCAAAATTATTCTTTTTTTTACAGTTTTTTCATAAACACAAAGCCAGAGAGCAAAGTGCTACTTGCCAATTGATTTGATTTGCAATTGGCAAGTAGGCCTGCCGCGGTCATTCCAAAATGCCTATTCTGGGTCTCAAAGTGTCGCAGCCGTTTTCTGTCTCGGAGGTGAGGGCAACAGCTCGCCGTTCAGCTCGCCGTTCATTGCCCCATGCCGCTGGAGCCTGCAGCCCAGTCTGAATTAAAATGTGATAATTGCCGCCTGGTGTGGCGCTAATTGTGCCGGGCGCAAACGTGGTCGTCTGTAGGAGATGCAGGCCGCCCTGGATTGCCTGGCCCGTCGGGAGAGAAGGGATTTCCTGGAAAGGATGGTATTCCTGGCACGGCAGGACCTAGGGGAGACCCTGGTAAGCACCGGAGATGTCGCACGTGGCACCACGTCGTTGCAGCTCCGTGTAAAAATGTTTGCGCTTTCTGGCAGTAATTAAAAGCATTTACACACCTCAACCCGAGCTATTAATACTCTGATACTTGCATTGCCTTTGTACTGTTCGCCTTTTGATATTCTCTGGTCTGACACTGGTGAGACATGGCCACAAAGAAGGCTGTCTGGTGTAGGCCAATCAGTTTCAAAGACAATGCCATATATTATCAGAGCCTGTTTGTTTGCATGGTTTGCCACAAGGATGTGTGGTTAATGCAGACTTGATGCCTTGCAACAGATGTCTATTTGGTATTTGAACATCTGAACACCTTTATTATTTGCCAGAAAGGGTAAAGCCTCTTCCTTTTTCATTGTATGTCTGCGTGTCATGTGACTGGATGCGTAGCTCTAGAATTGATCTCAATAAGTATCTACTTGGTGTTTGTACATCTTACGCTGGCTCTGTCTGTCAATCGGTCACATGGTGGGTGGTGGGGGGGGCACTTTTAACGCCCGTCAAAGTGATTTGATATGAACAAACTTGCAGAGTAAAGTCACGTTACTATTCGGGATGTGGCCCGAATAGTAACGTGACTTTACTCTGATGAAAGGGTTTGCCCAAAACTTGAAGACACAATACACCAGAGAGAACAATTTTTTTTGCAAATATATGCAAACATGTTCTGTTATGACAGCTACCTTTCGGCTTCCGCACTGCTAATCAAATACTTCCGAAGACAAATGCATGTTGGAAACCGTCACACACAATCCATGCGTACGCCTGATTTGTCCAAAACCGTTTTCTAAGCTTTGGGACATTCGGCTTCCCTTCCCTCTACAAACTGCAAAGTGTCGCTTTGTCACTTGGACCGTAGGACACTCCTCGTGAAGGAACGTTTATTCTAAAATTGGGTTCTCGCTGAGGAAATCACAGCAGGAATCCGCCAAACTCTCCCGGCTGCATGGAGAGAGAGAGGCGAATTACATGCATGGAGGTGGAATGGTTTCTCCCAGTCCTTTTTGTTGTTGTTGAACAAGAGCCCGTTACAAAGCGCCAGCGGTAGGGGAAAGGCGTACGGGATATTCCGCCGACAAAAATCCCGAAGCCAGTTGCCCACTGGGTAAGGGAAGGGCGATTGGGCTCACTGCCCCACTCACATAGGGGGAGCGATCAGTAAGGTGGTATTTTTATGTGGGGGGGGGGGGGGGGGGGGGGTGGTGGGGAGTTTGTCCCAGTCCTTTATATCTGCATATAAAAAAAAAACCGAGGTGGCCCTGGTGGCTGAGAAGTCTGAGAAGCGCTGAGTTGGTACCACTGAAATCCTGGGTTTTAATCCAGGTTTCAGCTGCCTGTGTCTAACCCGGATTCCTAAGCGTAGTGAGTTGTTGAACCCAGTCTGGTCACCGACGACAACTGTGCAAAGTTCACCATCAAGAGTAGGCGTGGGACTTGCAACTTCAATTGGCTACATTTCCACGTATGCACGGAGAGATTCGCACCCACCAGAGCAATGCGGAATTGCCGCCACTGGCTCAGGACTTTGAAGAGGAGAATAATCCCGCCCTGGGCTGGCACGCGACCAACCGTAACAACCGCTGTGTGCCGCGCCTCTTTGAGGTCGCGATCGAACGACAATTTTTCTTCTTTGGTTCTTTCGGTAAAGTCACGTAGAATGAGAATAAAATAATAAATTGATAAAATAAAATAACACAATAATATTCTGTGTTATTTTATTTTATCAATTTATTATTTTATTCTCATTCTACGTGACTTTACCGAAAGAACCAAAGAAGATGAATCATTGCAGTCACGAAAGCTTTAAATCGGAACGACAATTTGTCCATTTCGCGAACTCTGTGCGCACGGCACGAGAAACCAACAGGCTAAATGACTCACTTAGATTTTCCCGGTGGATGATGAAATACAAAGAATCACATGATTAACGGCGCGGCTTCCAGCCCGTCAAACCTTCACAACCGCTCGCCCGCCGCGTAGCTTCCTGAGCGCGTGCCCAGAGTGCGTTTTGCGCGCGCGCGCTGTGGCACCGCGTCCGCGATCGCCGTCGGAAATAATAACCCCCTTCGTTTTCCTTTCCCAGGTCCGCCTGGCAGGGGAGCTCCGGGTCCCCCCGGGAACTCCGGCTTCCCAGGTATGGTGCATAGCCGGAAATCCAATCCCGCTCAGTGCAGGGCTGGACGCTAATTTGCTGCGGAATTTATGGGAACAGTCAGATATTATTACTGCGCGCCTTAAGCGATAATTTTGTACATTTCCAACATCTGTGTTTTTTTTCTTTGACCGGTGCTGATCCATTATAAAAAAATATATAAAATGTGATGGGCTTGCTATACATGTATAAACAATCATAATGCTAATTCATCCGAGTGATGAAGTTTCTTCAATCACGACAGCTTACTATTTTAAATATATCACTATTATGGATAATATATGTTTTTTTAAACAATAGCCCAGTACAGAGCACGAACGGCGGGCGGAGGGGGTAGAGACGTTCAGCAGCCGACAACGCCCCAATACTACAACTTACTTAAATTACACATCACTGTCAGCCTTAATCCGCTGCTGGATGAAGGCCTCTGTGCAGGCCGTCGCCACCCCTTAACGGTTTTGCGGTTGTAACCAGCCGTCGAGCTTCTGCACGCGAGCGAATCCAGTCACTCCATCTCCACGGTGGACGTACTCCATCGGGGGGGGGGGGGAGGGGGGCGCGCTCCCTCCCCCGGCTGCCGCTCCGCCCTTAGTCTCGCCCACCCGCCCAACGCGGTCGCATTTCGACGCGACGTTGATTACAAATTGCGGAATCGTACGTGCAGTACCGCCCGTGACCCCTTTTTGTTGTTGTTGTCTCGTCTACATCTAGGTATAAAGGGAGACCCGGGCCGTCCCGGCGTGGGCGGGGTCCCTGGCTTCAGTGGTGCAAAGGGCGACCCTGGAGAAAAGGGGCCAATGGGCATCGATGGACCCCCGGGTTCTCCTGGTCCTCCCGGGCGAACTGTAGAAGGAGTCAAGGGCAACGCGGGTCTCCCTGGACTTCCAGGTCTCCCAGGTGAGGTCTCGGTGACCGCACTCTCACACCCGCGACGCCACACCGTGAAAACCTGACCCGCCGTGACCCCCCCCTGAAAATAGACGCCGTGAGACTCGGCGAGGCTTTCCACGCGCGTACGAGCGTAGTGACGACAAAGCAAATGGCGGCGATGTATATGTCGACATGGCGCGTCTGTGTTTGTGTTCTTACAGGAAACCCTGGCTTTCCAGGCCAGCCTGGGCCCCCCGGGATTGGCGGAATCAAGGGGGATCGTGGCAACCCAGGACTCCCCGGAAATTCTGGCCCGTCCGGCTTGAAGGGAGAGAGTGGCTTTCCAGGACAACCCGTGAGCCCACAGCCCTCGTACCGTCTTCCTCCGGCCTTGCTTCCCTTCAGTTTCTCGTCGTTGTGTATTCTCCCCAATTTTTGTGTCCTCGTTGGTGCTACTTGTGTTGTGTCACGAGACGAAGTGTCACGACGCATTGCCCGATCCACAAATAGGAAGGACACGTCACCACAGCGATACCACTCCACTGCTCCTGACGCGGTTATCTGGCTTGAATGCGAAATTGTCGTCATTGCCCTGCGTCTACATCAACAGCCGTACGAAAGAAGCAGATGAGACGAAGTTTCCACTCGAATCTTTCACAGAGCAGCTGGAGAACAGCCCGTGAAAGTGGATATCACAGAACCTATTATTATTATTATCTGTTAAACTTGTTTACCCAGGAAAGCCTGATTCTCAGGATGGTTTTAATTTCCCCCTCCCCCCGCTAAGGAACGTCCTGCTAGATTTTTTTTTTCCCGGTAGGTGGCGACAGTCGAACCTTTTGCCAAAGTAACCACATCTGAGATCCGTTCACGTGACCTCTAGTCCACACGTTCAGGGGAAGCACTTTCACACCCGTTCTGCCACTGAGAGTAATATTTGACGCACGGCAGTCAATCTGATTAAATTCTGGAATTTAGCCCAAATTAAGAACAGAGCCAAATAGAATGTGATGGGGTAATTTTGTGTAGTCATTGGTGACCAGGCTTAGACCATTCACTTACTACACTTGAGTAGCCAGTTGAATTCCAGATCCAGGCTATCAAGGATTTGAACCCAGGATTTCTAGCACAGTGCAAATTCAGTGTTCTCAACCCCATGACCATTTGGACACTCCATGATCAGAAAAAAAGTATATAAAAAAAATACAAAGTGCTTTACAAGAGAGTATCATTAGGGCAAACAGATTGCACTGAATCATTGGTCTAGCTTTAAAATAAATAACAGAACTAACCTGCACATCTCACATTCAACCATTGCGGAGTTACTGGCAAACGATGCGGTAGGAAGCACTCAGTGTATCAAACTCTCCGCACGTCAAGATTGCAATGTTGCCCGTTCATCGGCGTTGGCAGTTGCAGTCTCGATCTATTCACCACTGGGTTGGGTGGAGGTCTCTGGGAGCAGTGCCGGATTAAGCTAGTGCGGGGCATGTAGCATATGCTATAAAGGGGCCATAAATAAAATAAAAACACGTAAGTATTAAAACACACATTTTTTACTTGCATAGTAATTGTATATTTTTTATTTGCTATACAGCCAGATAATACGATAAATCGCTAACCTTAAACACCCCGTCGTTCATAAAAGTTCAAAGCAGTGTAGTACTCTAGTAACAGAGCAAGTTCAGAATCACTTAACCGAATTTGATAGCTTGAAAGCATTTAGCGCGGGGCCCTTTAAAGTGCGGGGCCCGTAGCATGTTTGACCACTTTTGCTACTGCGATAATCTGGCACCGTCTGAGAGCCATTGCCATCATCTCTCACCTGTTTCGTGGTGATTATGATGATCATGATGATGATGATGCAGCAATCCGTTGAGCACCTGCACGTGAGTCCGACGTCACCGCCTCGTCGTCTCGGGGGCATGAGCAAGCAATCGCAGGGCTGCAGTAAATGGCCGCATTGGCAGTACACCGGTGCGGCACATAACACACCACCGCTCTTCGTAAAACAGTCTGAAATAAAAATTTGAACTGACACTCGTCTTGCGACTGCTATCTACATCATAATAAAGGTGTTAAACTGCTATCTACATCGCGAGAACTTATTTCGACGCACCACCACCCCGCAATATTATCTGACCGGGTGGTTGCAAATCACGGGAAATTAAGTAATTATCGTGCAAAAATGTGCTTTGTGTTTTTTTTTAGATACCACGCACCACCGGTGTACCGCCAATACGTTCAAATGTCCAATTCATCATGAGCCACTTTGTTGAGCGATCATTTGTCGTCAGGTCCCGTCTGAAGAATAAGCTAATAGCTCAGTGGGCTCTACCTGGTAAAATAACAAAAATAGTTTCGTTTTATTTGTAGTTTTTGTTCGTGCTTTGCTTACCTTTACTATACTTTGCACTCCTATCGTGTTTTTGTTTTGTTTTTGTAATGTTCTTACATGCCCCTACTGGACGTCTGTGAAAAAGAGCTTTACAGCTCATCGAATTTCTCCAGTAAAAATACACATTCTGATTCTGTTTCAGGGCAACTTGGGGCGGCCAGGCTTCGATGGCCCCAAGGGTGACCCGGGTCCTCAGGGTCCCCCGGGATTCCCCGGTGAGTTCTCCCTCACTGCTTCCATGCTCGGGTTACCAACTCTGAGTTTAGAATGAGATGGAGCGGGTCATGGGAAGGAGACGACGAATATCTCATGGCACCATAAGTGGTGGGAGAGGTACAGGTTACAGCATAGTCTTGAGAGGTCAATTTATTGCGCAATGGACATGAGGCAGCACTTTAATGTTTTAATGTTCTGAGAAGACAGACATCCCAGGACAGCAGCTACCTTAAAAAGAGGATGGTGATGATGATGATGATGATCTTGGCAAGCCCAGAAGAGGTGGCAACCGTACGATGCACAGATCTCACGATTCTCGCTGTACCTACAGAGCGACACGTTTCTTTAATCAACAATGCTCAACACGGGCACAGAGGCTAGACAGCGCTGAGCGGCCAGAAAGTGAGAGAGCGCTTTGGAAGGTGCAGGTGATATGAACTCGTACAATTCTCGCATTGCGAAAGTTTATAGAAACTTCGCCCCTGATTAACAAATCACCCAGATTGCGGCATTAAATTAGTACCTTGCGCCGTGCGTAAACATTGGTACTGGGGAGACGGCGGCGGCCGGGCGTGGTGCTGGTCACACAACACCCTGATGGGCCATGCCAGCCTCGTCCCCTCGCAGCACTTGCCCCAACAGTCTACGTGGTGATGGGGGGGGTACTTCCATTTCTCTCTCTCTTTGTACGTGCGTGGCCTGACCAGTTTTCATTCTGTCTTGCAGGTATGAAGGGCTCTTCTGGCCTCCCAGGCATCAACGGGGGCCTAGGAGAGAGGGGCTTCCCTGGGCCACCAGGTGAGAGGTTTTTACCAACCCCCCCGCCACCACCCCAAAAAAAATAATCCATCCATCGCAACGCGGCACCGCACGATTTACATTGCCTGTTGTTTCACACGGCTCCCGCGGACACTCCCGAGTCGTGCGCTGAAGAGGAATCGCGCGGCACGACCACGGTTCAGAAGTTCTACATGCACACATACACCACCACAACCACCACCGCCGCTGCCTGCAACCTCCGTTTTTCCTCGCCTAGGGCCTGAAGGTCCTCCCGGCCCCCGGAGCCCCGTCTCGTACGTGAAGGGAGACCCGGGCCCGTCGGGCAACCCCGGGCTGCCCGGCCCACGTGGTCCTCCAGGCCAGCCCGGCCAGCCCGGACTGCCAGGTGAGTCCTCTGCCCGGCCACTTGACTCGGTGGAGATAGGGGGTGGTCACTTGTAATTGTTTGTTTTTGACAGGGCCCCTGTGTCTTTTACTTCAGAAGTTCAGGAGTGTATTCCCCGAGTAAAGTTCCTTGATCTCCATGGCTATTTTGAAAGGGCGACTCATCGCAAGCATTTGAAAAGGGCACCCCTAGTGGCAACTGTCTTTGTGGGTACATTGTTATAAGTTTTACCCAGTCGAGAGCGGCGATTGCTGTGTGTGATCCAAGTGAATGATTAAGGACAATATTTAAAATATGGAAAGTTTGGACCACTTGTCACCTCCTGACAAGTGATATTTTTGTTTTCCCATCAATCTCAGGTTCTCCCGGTCAGCCGGGAGGACCAGGTGAGGACGGCCTTCCCGGAAGTGATGGGCCATCCGGAAGGAAGGGCCAGACTGGTCCATCTGGTCGCGCAGGTGAGACTCTACTGCACCGTAATTTCACCTTTGTTCCTGTATTTATTGTTGTTGTTGTTGTTGCTGCTGTTGCTCAGATTTGCGTAACTGGTGCTTTGTTTTTAACCTGCACCATTTTTAAACCAATAATTTGTACGTTTTGGTCTTTGCACTGTTCTTATAGGGCAAGGCGTTGCTGCGTTTTACAGATGCAATTTGCGGTAATTTCAACAGCAGGATGTCGCGTTGGCCCAATTTAGTAATTTGCGGGTACATTTTTAAAACGTGAAAATTTTCAACCACGACGCCAGAACACAGTGGCCTGCTCTTTCCAAATGACGTCACTGGATCTTTAATGCCGTCTGCTTTAACAGCGGATGGATTAGCCAGGGTGGTGGCCTACCAGACATGAACCACGGACCCCTACAATGAGCGGCAAAAATGCGCTACCGCTGGGCCAAGTCTGTTGTTTTGTTTGCGTTCACGTACGACTGTTCAACTTGTCTAGCCGTGCGACTCCGTCTATCATTTTCCGCCACTGCTGACCTCATTGGGTTCTCCAGCTTCAATCAAATGTCGATGTCAACAGCAAAGGTGATTTTGGGTTAGATCGCGTAAATATGAATGTGTCGTGAAACCCACCACCACCCGACACAGCCTTATTAGTAAGGTTTGTCACGTAAACAAAACGTGCCATTTAGTTACTACTTTAGCACACCGGTGCGTTGGAGAGTAAACCCACAACATTCACAATTTGAGTGCGACGTTTCCCCGGCGATTACAACAACCAAGCCTCATCAGGCGATAGCCAGAATTGTGATGAAGTCCTCCTATTTCGGTCTTAAATAGGGGGAGTGATGGTGATGTCATCACTGTGGGCCTATTACGCTGCTAAGACCAGAGGGGCATTAACGTAGTCATAAATTTTAATGTCTAAGTCACTGCTCTAGATTACACCCAGGAGGTCACTGCCAATAGAACCGTGTCGCACGTTGTCCCAAAAGCTCGTTTTCCATATCCGGGTGAAATAAAGTTGACTACTTTACTTCTAATATATGCTCGCCACAATCACCACCACTCGCCTCCGATTCGGTTCCCGCACCTCCGATTAGCACGGTTGGCGACGCACGGTGCGAAAATAAGTTCAACGAGGTATTAGGTAAAGAGTCAAATCACTTGCGTTCATAATGACAAAGCATTATTGGCACTGTATATATACCGCTACAACAACGCCGTTCGCCACTAAGTGCCGGTGACATCACCACGGCGCTTGTGCCAGGCTAGGTGCATATACCTTTCCAGCAAAACATTCGTTGTGCCAGTATTACTTTGATTACAAATAAGCCTATTTAGCAGTACATTTCAAAATGTGTATGGGTTTGTCTGCTCCTGAATAGCTACTAATAGGTAACCATTCGTACGGTAATTTTAGAACTGTTCATCAGAAAACATTGTTTTAATTTAATTCAAATTAGGCCCCATTGTGTAAAGTGCAGTCTTCAACTCTTATCCACTATCCTGCTGGCCACTCAGTATGTGGGCTATCAATAAGGGCCATTGCCAAAACATCGCCTATTGTATGCGCTTAGTTTTTGAGGCCACAGTGTGATTGGATGTGTCTGTCATTCACGAAACTTACCACTGCGCCACCCTAATGCCCTTTTATTGACCTCGCCTGGTATACGGAAGGTCGTGGGTTTGATCCCGACCCTGACGCATGTATATTTGGAGTTTCCATGTCTCTCTGTCCCTGTGGTCACGTGTTTTTTTTCTCCAGATCCTCCGTATTTTTGCCTCCCACATTTAGAATCGGCATGCGTTTAGAGTATTTGGCTGCTATTCATTGCCACGCGATCATAAGCCACTTCGTTGAGCTATCATTTGTGGCCAGGTCGCTTCTCAAAAAGAGCTACATAGCTCAGTGGGCCTTACCTGACCTGCCAGGGTGGTGGTGGTGGTGGAGTGCAGCAACACGGCTGCTGCGTCACGAACCGGGCCACCCGAGTTCGATTCCTGCTCACGCCCATAATTAACGGCGAATACCAGAGCCTGTTCTGGGCCTCCCCGAGGTCGACTCAGCCTCCAAAATGAGTTCCTGGTGCGGTGGAATTTTTGGGAGACAATGGGCGGACCGGCTGCGGTGGTGCTGGCCACATCACTCCCTTTGCGTGTCGTCATGCCAGCGCCACTCGCCAATGCAACTTTGCCCAATAGTCTGTTCTGGGGCGCCGCGGTGGCGCGATGTTAACCACCTCGCCTTGTTGAGTGCAGCAGCACGGCTGACGTCGAAACGGTCAGGCTGCTCGGCCGAGTCCTCGAGATGGGCAGAGAGCGGATCGATGGAGCGAGGAACGATGGGCGTCTAACGGCCGCGCGTCGCTCGTTTCAGGCGAGCGAGGATTCCCGGGCCCGCAGGGCACCGACGGAATTCCAGGAATCCCGGGACAGCCCGGCCCTCCCTCCATGCCGCACGGATTCATGGTGACGCGCCACAGCCAGTCGGTGGAGGTGCCCGCGTGCCCGTTGGGCCTCGTCAAGCTGTACGACGGCTACTCGCTGCTCTACGTGCAGGGCAACGAACGCTCACACGGCCAGGACCTCGGTACGCCTCCCCTGGCCTTAAGTTCGTCTTCCCTCACCTTCCCACATAAAAGTGCACACGCACCGCCTCGCTCGCGGTCCCCGCTGGGTAAGGCAGCAGCGCGAGCCCAGTCTCACCCCTTCCTCTCAACTCAGGAGAACGGCGTTGTGGACTTACCGCCCCCCCCCCCCACCACGTCACAGTTTGTGCTCTGGGCTTCCACTGAAAGAATCACCTCCTGGCCTCGGTCGTGACCTCTGCTTCTCTGCTTTCGTCGGTTAACTCTACTCTGATATATCCGTTAACTCTACTGCACTACGTCGGTTAACTCTACTCCGCCGCGTCGGTTCGTCTGGTAGGCACGGCGGGCAGCTGTCTGCGCCGCTTCAGCACGATGCCCTTCATGTTCTGCAACCTGAACAACGTCTGCAATTTCGCGTCACGCAACGACTACTCCTACTGGCTCTCCACGCCGCAGCCCATGACCATGAACATGGCTCCTGTCCACGGCCAGCAGATCCAACCTTTCATCAGCAGGTGTGGGGCGGCCTCTTTTGAATTTTTTTACGCGAAATCTGTTGGTTTTCTGTTTGACATTTTTTATTATACACTTTTTTTTTGCACGGTAACATCTCCAAATGTGCTCAAGAGAAAAGTCGTCGCCGCACTCACTCGCGAAAGATTTCCTCGTTGTGCCGCCGCATCCGTGACTGACGGTGCATATGACAATTATTATATATATTATTTGTTTTAACGTCAGCAAGTTCGTGACCCGTTGCTCCCTTCTTTTTCGGAGGCTGACATTGGTCGTAAACGTTTTTTAGTCCAAAATAAAACACAGCTGCTTTGGCACGGGAAGCGCTGCCTGAACAAATAACTTTGACGTATATATCTTGCAAAGTAGGTCCTTTGGCCGTTGCTTGTTTCCGCTGTGGCTGAGTTCAGAATCCTGAGCACAAGATCGGGGATGTGATGTCACCGTGCACTGCAAGTTTAACTTCGCGACAGATGTGCCCTTCTCACGAAATGTATTTTATCCGGATGAAAGTGCACCTTAGAATTTAAATGTTGCTTTCACAGTTGTAGTGTAACTACTATTCGTATTTTTTGTCATTGAAAAATGTAAATGAAGATACACAAAGCTAAATACTAAGTCACGGTGATGTTTTGCATGTAAATTCCAATGTGATGAAAATAATAATGGTCCCAAGTAAATTTGGGCACCCTGTGCATTGGTGGCATACCAAAGCAATGTCGCATTGCTAATATGGACTGTGCCCACGCTGTTGTGCCACCACCACCACCATCTCGTCCGCCAGGCATGTTAAGTGACGATGCATCGACTCATTCTTTTGCAGAAATGTTTCTTGACCACCTTCGTGACAAATGCAGATTTCCCTGAAAGCCGCGGTAGAAATAAACATCGTTTCGATTCAAATTGCCCATCATTTTCTCCCTACACATGACGCAGGTGTGCTTAAACAATCGATGCTTTTATCTTCAATCCGTGCTACGTTCTAGCCATTAAGTTCACGTTACATCCTGCAGAGATGCTACGATTACCATGATGTGAAACGATGTTCGGCGGATCGTACGATTTGTAACAAACAAAACTCTACCTCCCTAGCCTCTCTGTGCGCTGCGCCAAAAGGGCTGTTGCCCGGAACGTTGCCTATTATATATATAAAAAATGTTTTAAGGCCACAGTGCAATTGACAGATGTGTTGAGTTGTGTTGCTTGTGCACAACTGCCAATGCGCAGCAGCTGCATCGCCAAATCGTTTGTTACAATTTACAGAGTGACTGTGCGTGTGGGGAGGGGGTTGGGGGGGGTGAGGTGTGCGGGTGGTGGTGGTGGGTAAATTGTTTCATGCCTTTGGCCCACACCGGCCGAGAAACATCTGCTCGGTATAACCGCGGTGCTGCATTGGTAAACATCGAGTTTTGCGGATCCGCACACAGGCCCGGGCCACGTGGTTATTTCAACGGTGGTGTGTGTTTACCCGTGCGAGCGAGCGAGCGAGAGCTGCCTCCGCCCGTTGTGACTGCGGTCTCCGTGGTAACCGCCGTAAACGTCTCCACAGATGTGCAGTGTGCGAGGCGCCGGCGATGGTGATCGCTGTTCACAGCCAATCCATCGTGATCCCACCGTGTCCCAACGGATGGGCCTCCATTTGGATCGGCTACTCGTTCATGATGGTATGTCTTGGAGTGCGCAACACGTGCACACACGAGCGTGCAAAGACAAAGATGCCCCGTATAGCCTTTATAAACTACAAAGCTATTAACTGTTTTTATTTTACCAGGTAAGGCCCACTGAGCTGTATAGCTTTCTTTTCAGAAGCGACCTGGCCACAAATGATTGCCCAATTGAAGTGGCTTATCACGTGGAAATTCATAGCAGCCAAATACACTAAACACGTGTTTCTAGATGTGGAGGGAAAAACCGGAGGACCCGGACAAACAAATCCACGTAACCACGGGGTGAGAGAGACATGCAAACTCCGAATATACAGGCATTAGGGTCGGGATCGAACCCACGACCTCCTGTATACCAGGCAAGGTAGTTAACATCTCGCCACCATGGAACCCCATAACAGACTGTTGCTGAGTAGCGCTGGCATGACGGCACGCAAGGGAGTGGTGTGGCCACCACCACCGCACCCGGTCTGCCCATTGTCTCCCCAATTCCCACCACCCCGGGTGCTAATTTTGAAAGGCTGAGTTGACCTTGGGGAGGCCCAGGACCAGCTCAGATATTCGCCGCGAATTATGGGCTTGAGCAGGTGTCGAACTTGGGTAGCCTGGTCCATGGGGGAGTGCGCTCACCACTGCACCATCGCTCCCCACGTGCACACGCATGTACACATGCGCAAACGTAAACACGCACACACACACACGTACCACGTAAACATGTGCATATCAGCATACATACACACGTGCATACATACATACCACTTGCACACATCTGGTAGTTATATATATGCAAAAAAAATGTTTCTGAGAATAAAGTGATAAAAATAGTTGCGACAACAGAATGCTTGACCTAGTTAAAAGCATCGTCCTCCTGCAGTGATCGTAGAATTGATTTGCTGGGCAGAAGGAGACGCAATAGTGAGTCCATTCATCATCATTACGGTCTCCGGCCGTCAGATCTTTATTTAAATCAGGTGAGAGGCTATTGAGAGCAAACGTCTCCGTTTCAAGGGAGTGCTGGGTCACAAGGTGCATCATCGGTCCCCAGGACACCCACCATTTTCACAAATCCACGCCAACCAATGTGGTGACGTATGGCCAAATAACTCACCCCCCCCCCCCGGGCTCCGTCCCTCCGCCCCCACCTTCCTCCCCCCAACCCCAACCAACACCGTATGGGGAGGCCTTAGACCAGCAGTGGAATGACAAAGGGCCTGTAAATTATTATTATTTTTATCCAGTGGAGTGTTCATGAGCTCCACATGATGTTACACCGAAGGCGCTTCCAGATATACAAAGCTCAACGGGTCTTGGCAGACAGCGGAGACAAACAGAAACATCTTAGCACGTGCCGGTAATTCTCTGTGCGGGGGATATCACTGTTTTCCCTTAGCCTTCTTATATACGTCAACTAATACAACATACGGCACGGGATAAATGGCTCCATTTTTATATACATGTAGATCTGCATTGATGATTGCAATGCGTACATGTAGTTGCGTGTCGCTGTCTCTGCACACACGTAAAATGAATTAAAAAAACTGGCAACAATTTTCATTGCATTAATAAAATCATATTTGCCGAGCAATAACTGTCCATCGGAGGCACTGAGCCAGCGCTAGCAGATATCCTGGGTTCAATTCCAGGCTGCCTACACCCTGGAGAGATGTTAACTACCTCGCCTGGTTTGCAGGAGGTCGTGGGTTCGATCCGAACCCTGACGCCTGTTATGTATTTGGAGTTTGCGTGTTCTCCCCGTGGTCGCATGGATTTTTTTTTCCAGGTCCTTAGGTTTTTCCCTCCAATTTTAGAAACATACGTTTCGAGTATTTGGCTGCTCCAATATTCCACATGATAAGCCACTTCGTTGAACTATCATTTGTGGCCAGGTTGTTTCACCTATAACTGCAACACACAACTCACTTTTGACCCTTTACTACAATCAATATAAACTTTATCACCAGATTCTATTAAATAAAAAAAAACATTGTAATAAAAGTTCAACATAACTGTGTATTGATTGAATATAACGGTAATTCTGTTGCATTATTTTCCTTCTCGTGCCCTGCCAGTCGTAAATGTATCCAGAATCGGGATGTGAGTGATGAAAGGCCAGCAGTGGATTGACCATGGCACTTAATAATAATTTCAACTCATGGTATACGCTCACTCTCGAAGGGAGAGAACGGCTCAGAAGCACGAGGAACCTCTATCATAGAAGATAGCCACATGGTGAGCTGACACCAACAATTGCCCAAGCCCCGTGGTCCTCTATATATTAAGATGTTTTCGGCCAATTAATGAGTGTTTACAAGTGGGAGGAAACCGGAGAATTTGGAGAAAATGCACGTGCTCGAGGTGGAAACACTCTATCCCATACAGATGGAAAACAGGTGGAGTCCAATTTTTTTGCAGTACTGCCTTCTGGTGAGCTAGGGCACACGATGATGATGATGTGGCCCGGTTTGTTTATAGATAATTTGGCTGCTACTATAAATTCCCACGTTGTCATAATGATGATGATGATAAATCCACTTCAATGAGCTGCCACATGTGGCCAGGTCACTTCTGAAAAAGAGCCAATAGCTCATTGTGCCACACCTGGTAAATAAAATAGTTCAATTTTGTTTGAAGTCTCTCCTCAAAAACGTCATCTTGCACCCCATGCCTTTTTTAGACCCCCTTAATTGCTTCCTTTCTCTCCTTCCCCTGCTCGGTCCGTGCCGTTCCCTCCCGTTTCCTCCTCCGCAACCTCTGCGCTCCGAGACGTTTGTTCATTTACGAACGAGAATTTGCCGATGTCGCAGTTAGAAAGCGGCGAACATGAGGGTTCACCTGTCACGGGCGATGAGCTTGCCCGCCGCTGACTCGTCATGGCTGTCACGGACGATGAGCTTGCCCGCCGCTGACTCGTCATGGAGCATGAACTGTCACGCGGATTCCAGTCGTCCTTGCAGTGGCGGCTTTTTGCTGGCCATCGAGCAAAGATGGTCACCGCATCAGGCGCTTCCAGATGCGCTTCCAGATGCGCTTCCAGATGCGCTTCCAGATGCGCTTCCAGATGCGCTTCCAGATGCGCTTCTGCGGTCATCTGGAACACACTCTTCCCATGTTAGGAAGCCACTGGAATCAAAATTTAAAAAGAATTTCTTTAGTATTTTGTCCTCCGATTAGCGCGGTTGGCTACGTACGGTGTGAAAGAAGATCTATATTCATAATAAAGGTTTTTGGGTTAGATCGCGTTATTTATAAATGTGTCGTAACCCTCCACCACCCGACACGGCCAATCAGCAAAACAGTGTCACGTTGACAAAAGACAAATAGTTCGCTACTTTAGCCCACCGGTGTGTTGAAGAGTGAATCCACAACATTTACAGTTTGAGTACAACGTTTCGCTGGTAATTACATCCAGCATCATCGGGCCGTGTCGGGTGGTGGAGGGTTACGGCACATTTATAAATAACGCGATCTAACCCAAAAACCTTTATTATGAATAATATTGGTCGCGAAAGCCTACTACGTGTTAAACAGAAGTTCTATATGTTTGTATTGTATGATACGGGTCTCCTCATCTCACCTCTATCGCCACTAGAGGCACTATACTATTCTAAATTAACCTTTTTTTTACCAGGTAAGGCCCACTGGGTTATGCAGCTTTTTTTCAGCAGCGACCTGGCCACCAATGATTGCTCAACGAAGTGCCACATCGTGTGGAAATTTACAGCAGCCAAATACCCTAAAGGCGTGATGTTGATTCTAAATGTGGAGTGGAAAACCCGGAGGACCCGGAGAAAATCCACGGGTAGAGAGACACGCAAACTCCAAATACACAACAGGCGTCAGGGTCGGGATCAAACCCACGATCTCCCGCATACCTGGCGAGGGAGTTAACATCTCGCCACCGCGGCACCCCACTACATGCATGACCGACCTGTGCCGATCCCCCGATCCCCCCCCCAACGCCGTCGTGTGCAGCACACGAGTGCCGGTGCCGAGGGCTCGGGTCAGGCCCTGGCGTCGCCTGGCTCCTGCCTCGAGGAGTTCCGCTCGGCGCCCTTCATCGAGTGCCACGGCCGCGGAACGTGCAACTACTACGCCAACTCCTACAGCTTCTGGCTCGCCACCGTCGAGAACAACGAGATGTTCAAGTGAGTGTTCGACGCGCGAGCCGGACCGCACGTGCCGGAGGGGGGGGGGGGGGGCGGGTGTCCCTAGAAAATGCCGTGTTCGGCAAAAGCCACGTTCGACAAGTAAGTAGACCTAAAGGGAACAAAAGGGTTGCGTTCCTGCGTTATTTAATTATCACCCCCGATCCCTATTTGTTGAACTAATTCTACAAGATTCCTGCCCTTGTTATTGAGCAGGAGTCCCTCGGTTAACAGTGACATCGGTGAACGGTTTTTATGGTTGACGTTTCGCCTCCCATAGGACCAGCATGGTTTCGACTGGCGTGAACATTTTGATAACGGTGGTAGGTTTACGTTATGCGTGCCATTTTCAGCCAATCTGATGTCCTCAACGACCGCACGGCTAGATGAATGCGGCAGCGTGTGAACGTTTGCTTCCTGCCGTGTTGAGTGCGTCACATTATCACGCAACAAAAAAATACACACACACACAAAAGCGTACATGGTAAATAAATCGTTCTCACGGTCGATTCATTCACACCTTCCAACGGATGCTGCACTATCACGGCACGACTGTTCGACATCCACAGCGTAAGAATCATCATCACCTTCATCAGCCTGAGTCAATCCACTCCTGGATGAAAGCCTCTCCAGGCTGCCACCATCTCTCACGGCCCTGCGATGTTGATAGCCTATTGACCCTTTCCCATTCCGATGACGTACGTGTTACTAGTGAGTCATCGGAACGGCATCGGAACAACAAATAAACTAAAATATCTTTATCGGTACCGAGGCTCCCACAAGGCCATGCGGGAGGGCGCGTGGCACAGTTGGGCACCAGCTGTCTTAGAATGCGGCAGTCAGGTCGCTACAGTTATCTGCGGTAACAACGTCTGTAAAAAAACAACGGCGCTATTACGCCTCTCTGAATAAACTTAATGCTGAGCTGTTCGCGTGCCCCGAGATTCGGCGGTGAACGGGACACCACCCCCACCCTGAAACCTGGAGGCGTCTCGGAGTACGGGAAAGGGTTAACACAGATAGCCAATGTCCTGCTTACACTCAGACATCACCCTCTGCCCCCCGTCCCTCGTCACTTTCAGGAAGCCACAGTCGGAAACGCTCAAGGCTGGAGAGCTGCGTTCGAGGATAAGCCGGTGCCAAGTCTGCATGAGGAAGACATAACGCTCCTTCCAAAGGGGGGGGGGGGGTGGGGGGGGGTGATTATAACACAGCAATGATTTCACAAGGGTGCTCTCTGTGTAAATGATACAAACTCTATGCATATTTTATTGTGTGTACCTCAGGCGTCTTATGTTGTGTAACGCAGGCCTTCCAACTCGGCAGCACATCCGCCAGAGGTTTTCTGCTCCCCGCCCCCCCCACCATCACCACCACCATCACCACCCCACCCCACCGATGGGGAGACGGAACAGCTGCGTCCACGATGCACTGCGCTTCACGCAAAGCATACTCTCGCCCGTAGTAATTTGCACGTGGAATGCGTGGGGACTACCCCGAGGTGTGTGTGTGTGTGCAGGAGTGAGCGTAAAGACGCGGGGAAATCTGTTCCGTGTTTGTTTTTTTTCTAAGTTGTTTTAAACACGGGGGGAGCGGCGGGTGGGGGGGGGGGAAACTCCCTCCAGATGTGCTGCCCACTTACTTCTGACGCAAGATGAGCATTTAAAGGGGAGATGTTGGAGAGAAGAGAAAAAAAAGGACATGTCACAAAATAAACGTCTTCGATCGTACGTGTACATATACACATTTTAATATGTATTGTACATTACGTATGTGTTTATGTGCCGGTGTGTTTATATATAATATATAGCACACGAAACACACCTGCACATAAAACACAAAATCAAAAAAGGGGTCTTCAACGTGAATGTCCTGTTAATCGCTTTCATCATTTATAAAAAAAAAAAAACGCTTTGGTCAAGGATTATATTTAAACTGTAGGACACTCTTTTGGTTTTGGGGTTTTCCTTCTCTCAATGTGCCACATTTTATATTAAACAACAAAAACAACTCCCGCAGTGAAAGAGCTCCAGTGCACATTTTTTACATTAAAAAATGCACCCTGGAGTTTTCTCATTAGACGTTTATTTTTTTAACCTTGGACAGTTTTAAAATGTGTTTTTAAAGCAAAAAATGAGCTGCCACTCAAAATGGAAAGAATTAAAAGCCATCTCTCTCTGACAAAAAAACAATTATACTTAAGACGACTCCTCATTTTGTAAAAGTTTTGGAAGGTCTGGATTGGCAATTGCTAAGCTCCAAAAGACTGCTGTTATAGAAAGGCTTGGCGCATATAATAATATTATTTTTTATATAATGTGACTGATCTTTAACTATTCATATGGTGCTGTTGCATAGATTAAGCTACACATGCCACACTCACAAAACGCAGAAGCCTTGTATTAGTTCCTTCGCTTACAAACAAAATGACAACAGAAACTGGCCAGTGCAGTTTTAAGTGGATTACATTACTTGAATGCATGTCGTATTAATCATTTGATTTCGTTTTACCTTCTCTCTAATGTCAGACCACTAAGTGTCTCCACAATTTCACGTACTCAAGCAGTTGACCTAATAACGAGCTGCTGCTGCTACTGCTGCGTTGACGCTTGGCCGATTGTGATGCCCGCACATCACCTCCCCTTGGCCCCGGGGGGGCAATGCGTGCCAGGCCTAGGTGCCGCGTCGAACACCGTGTTAGCGGCGGCAATGTGGCGGCGGCACCTTCGGCCAACGCCGACGTTATCCGACAACAACGACGACAACAACAACAACAATGTGCGGGGGCTTGTAAGGCCACCGAACGGCGAGGCGTGACACGCTCTGCCCCCTCGCGAGCGAAATTCGCAAACGCCCTTTCCCCTCAGCAACCCGTGCTGGTGACTCCCCTGTCCTCGTTTATCTCTGCCCGTGACTTGCCTACATCGTCTCTCTATCTCTCCCTCCCTCTCTCTCTCCACGTCAAGTAAATACGCCCACCGTTTGCGTGCGTAGCGTCTCAAGATACGTCGGCGTGCAAGGCACTCCTTGTGAGTCTGCACTGCGTTCTGTGCGCCCCGAGGACTTGCTGCTGCGGTGTTGCGTGGCGTGTCTGGAGTGTCTCGCGTTGGGCACGGATGAACGCGGATTGTCTTGGACATCGTCCGTTCACGCGGCACAATAACGAATCTGACGACATCCGCTAGAGAACTACGCTGCCCGGTCACTCGGTAGCTTGAGTGTGCTAGCATTAGACAGAGAGTGCCGAAATAGTGAAATGTTGATTGACCAAACCATGATTCCTCCTCACAGTAATCAAAAGCCAGCGAGCTATGGGCTTCATTAATAGGCAGACAGTGTTACACCGCTTGTGAAGCTGTTTACATGTTCACGAATACGTCGCGATAGTTGCCACGTTGTCAGCAACATTTAGCTACAAAACACCTACTGGCATTCGTGGTAATGCACCTATTTTGCCTCCACGTCAATATGTAAACAGACTGATAGAAGTGTCTTACGATTTTTTTTTCGAAGATTCTGCTTATGACACGATCAGTGTAAGTCCAGGACTGCCATGTTAAGCTTCGCTGCTTTATTTGTATTTTTTGTCTCGATACACTTGACTGTATCTACTCACGCGCTCACTTTATTGATGATGAATACCGGATGTTGATTTTTTTTGTTTGTTAAATTAGAATTTTCTCCAATCACGACAAAAAAAAACTGGCCTCACCGAATGCAGAGTCATCATCGACCAGTATCGTGAAGCCATGGTTCTATCCACTGCGGGATGAGGGCCTCCCCAAGGTTCCGCCACCTCTGACGACCATGCGATGTTGCAAGTACTTACCGAATGCAACGGTCTCCGATGTTGAAGATTTATGGCTGGACCGCGCCTTATTTTCAGCGGAATATTCGACGGAACGTTCCTCTGAAAATTGAGCCGATTTATATTTGCTTAAGACAACAACAACAAAAAATACAGCCCTTCGGGTTTGTATTTTTTGACAATAAAATCAAATCGAGTTTAAAGCTCACCAAGGTTGATTTGTTTTTGTCGCACGCCACTTGCAGCCGCGTTTTCTTTTTGTCTGTGCGGTTTGGCGAGCGTCGTCAATTCATTCACGCGGTTCGCCGCAGTTTTTACACCGCGACAACTTTGCTCGGCATCTCTCTCTCTCTCTCGCTCTCTGCGTGCGCGATTGGGAAAAAGCATTGCAATCGGAGAGCCCTCACCCGTTGATATGCCGTTCCACGTGCGCCGCCAAGACCAAAGATGCTGAACTGTTGAGTGTTTGCACGGAGCTAGCGCAAGGCTGTTATAGCATCGTATGTGGGATGAGACCGATTGTGTGTTGAGACTGTGCGTACGTGTGTGTGTGTGCGTGATTTTCCCATTGTTGAGTGGAAATTTCCAGTTGACCCTTCCACCGGAGTGCCGGGGGGGGGGGGGGGTACGGGGCTCGCATATTGACAATAACAACAACAATGCGATGGAGTGGGATTACATCTGGCACGTTGCCAACAGTGGCCACAGCTGAGGGTGACGGCGTGGCTAGCGTGAATCGATAGCTCATTCAAAAATTATCGCGCCGTCACCGGCTTATTCTTTTTTTAAAGAGGTGGGGAGGGGGGGGGTTCTGGTGCAGGCGGTGATGAATGACATTAGAGAGCTATATTTGGTGAAAGTGTGCATTGGGAATTGTATTTTTTTCTTCATTAATGCCTTACATACGAATACGTATTATGGGATGGTGCTAACTTCTCAAAACGTTGGACCGGTAGATAACTTGGGGTGCTACTACTACGTGTTACGGGACGCAAACAGCAACGAAACGTGCGTTTGTGTGCGTCATTTTAGCGACTGTGTGAGAGCATGGACAAGGTGGAGTCCACTCTCCGTTTTATACCCGTGTCAGGTGGTGAGTGCTGATTCTTCAACATCGGCAACAAATGGCCTTCGCAGTGGGTTAGGGCGGGCCGAGAGGTGTTTTTTTTAATAACCTCGGTGTGGGTGCATGTGCGGTGTGTGTGCGCACACGCGCGGGCATCTCTAAGCATGGCATGCGTGCGTCAAATATTGCCTCGTGGCAGTTTGGCCCGCAAATGCTTCTGCTGCTGTTGCTGCTGTTGTTGTTGCTGCTGTCGCCTCTGCGCGCTGTCCAGCGCGCGCGCGCAGGTAACGGCAGCGTGCGGCAAAACGCCAAATAAATACACCACATAGTCACTCACATCGAGGACAAGCATTGACAATGTTTTGTTGAAACCCACGCGTCTCTCTTCGAACGGCCGTAACCTCGCTCGGCTCTTCCCGCCGTTAATGCTGCAGTTTTACTTATCGCTGTTACATGGAGGGTGCAGTCTTACCCGTGTTAAAGAGCAATAATCATTAGGAGAAGAATCATCATTTCAACTTGTCCCGTGCCGCCCAGTGTTCGCTCACTCTCTCGCAGAGAGCGAGGCAGCGACTCTGAGCTGCGAGGAACCGCAGGCAAGCGGGGGAAGGCAGCCCACGCGGTGAGTCGGTGAAATAATAAAAAATAGCCCCCTCCAAGCTCTGCGGTTCTCTACGTAATTGTACGCGTGCATGCTTAACGTTCCTTTCGCACCATACGTAAGCCAACCGTGCTAATCGGAGGTGCGGGGGAGACTGGCAACAGACGAAACGCACGCACGCATGCAACAACAACAACAAAAACAATTGCCGCATTGTTTCCTGCAAGGCGTAACTTGCTATCTGCAGTTTCAGCGTAACGTGCTTAAATCTCCCGCGTGAGCGCAAACGCCACGCACGCTGGCAAAGGGTGCGATCACTCGCCTCGTCGCCTTGGCCGCCGGCCGGCAAACCGGTGAACCAACGTGCAAGTCGACGGCATGTTAATACGCGTTTGGCAATCATATACTGCCCGACGAATCGGTGCATCCATCGTTAAATCGATTTCTCGAGTCAACGTGATGAGAAAGCAGGCAATTATTTGAAGAACAAGCGTTGTTGGACAGCGGCTGTGAAATCGTGATGCCGGGTAAGGGGTGCTAGGATGATTCATCCAGGCCACAGCGAATGGCTGCAATAGAGGTCGTAGGTCAGTTTTCTATATTTTATTAGCATGACTGTCTGCCGTACGCGAAAGTTGAACATATGAACATACATGTGTTGAACTTCTTTCCCACCGTACGTAGCCGACCATGCTAATCGGAGGTGCGGGGAAGGACAACAAACCAAACACAAAAAAACATTTGTTGTAAAGAAATTACGTTTTCAATCTCGATGTAAAGGTGCATAGCTCCATTGGCTTCTTAATATCGGAAGGAAGAGCGTTCCAGACGGCCGCAGAAGTGCATCTGAAAGCACGCGATGATGCGGTGACCACTGTCTTTGTTCCATGGCTAGCAAAAGGCCGCAAGATGCAAATAGTCGGTGAAGGCCGCTGAAATAGAGGTCGTAGGTCAGTTTTTCGAATGTGAAAATGTGTCCGTGTTGCGTGTGAAGGCACAGCTTGTCAGCTTTGCACAACGGTAGCTTCTGGGTTGATGTGAGGTTTTTCTTTTTTTCGTGCAGACGCTCATTTTAACCGTACAATAAAAAATAAATAAACTGAAAAAAATCTAAACAGTAGCGTTTATAACATTTTAAGTCCAAAACTTTGGCGGCCAAAATCAACCTTACTACACACCCCACATTAAAATGTATAACATATTTTTTTTTAAATAGATGGAGGTTTGGGTTTATTTCAAAGAGAAGGAACAACTCCCACCGACATAGTACGGTGTTCATGTTTAAAAAGCCAGGAGTGAAGTTTATCGAATAATTGTATTGCTAATTAAGCCAATCAACGGGCTAATTAAAAAAAAAATCCAAAGGAGGCTATTCTGTAAGGCATTACCGTTTGCAGGTAAAACAAAACTTTATTTAAAAATATTATTTCCCAATGATTGAATCATTCATTTCTGGAAAGCTGAGTGGAGTACAATATTGCCCACGTGATATGCATTCATTGGTCATATAGAACTTTCCCGAACAACTACTAGAGCTGCGTAGTTCAATAGGGTGCAACGATTTGGACTGATTTGCACAATAAGAGAGTCTTGGCTTAATTACCAATCTGAAAATGCTGTAGCAGTTTGGCTTTTTTAATTAAGTATGGAATTTTTTTTCCTTTCGTATGAGCTCCCAAGTGCCTTTTTTAAACAACAAATTTCAGTTTTTTGTTTTTCGCACACACGACCTGCCCATGGACCCAACATGCATACATACCATACGTATATATCTGTAACGCACTGTTAATCACTGCTACTAATTATAACAGTCGTGCCTGTTTATACAAACCAAACATCTTATACTGTATTGTTTATTAAGAGTGATTTTTTTAAAACCCCTGCACAAACCTTTTTTGTTAGTTTGTTTTTTTGTTTTGTTAAAAGCTTTACATAGGGCAAAACATTCAACACTTTTGGTAGAAAGAAGAACGGGCAATCGCCCACTACTGAAGACATGAAATGTACCGACACATGAACCCCGCCCCCCCAAGCGCTCAATAAATTTGTTGAGATTCTTTGGAGAATATTAACAGTCGACAACACATTAACATTTTATCACTTAGAATGTGATTCAGCCATAATAATAATAATAATACGTGTTTATCTTTAACATAAAAAAATCAGGGCTTGTATAAAAGGGGGAGAGGATTGCGGTATTAGCGCTTCAAGTGCTTCGGGGATTTGCGTGTTTATGCAAAAGACTTCAACGGGAATGCTAAACCAGCAAACAAAAGTATCTTTAACAAATATTAATTGAAATATATTTAATTTCATTTTTTTTACCCCTCCCCCAGGCTTGCATATGCAATATATATTTTGAGTCCTTGATATTTATTACATAAGCAAAATGAAATAATTAAAATTGTTCAATGATATACGTATAATTTTTCATAACAATAGTGAAACCATTATAATTAGCTCAATAATCTTTGGCTCGAGTGTATTCACGCGTGTCTGGAAGCCAGCTGCCTGAAGGCAAATTTCCGCATTTTAACAAAGTGCGAAAATTGCTAAAATTTAACAACAACAACAAAAAGTATTTTGGGGTTTATTTTTTACATGAAAACCATGCCCTGACCAGCTGTATGCAAACATGACCTTGTTTTGCTGTAAACAAATTTGTCAAGGAATAAAGGACCCTACACAGAACTTTAAGCATCACTGCATCAATGTATGTAATTGGTCATCAGCGGGAACAGAGCCATGCTCCATCCACGGCTGGGTGAAGTCCTCGCCCAATCCTCGCGGTCTCGCGACGCAACAATCCACCTCGGCTCTTCACGCGAGTTCATCGCACGGCTCCATCTCCGCGCTGTACGAGTGTCGAGTACTCAACAGGTCGGCAGCCGACAACACGGACGGCCGGAGGAAGGAGGCTTGAGACCGTCTAGGAGTAGCGGAGGAGAATGAATTGACCTGCCAACGGAGTGAAGATTGACCGGGGGGGGTTTCAACAGGAAAGCTTGCTTTGCTTGAGAGTGGGGCGAGTGAAATGAGCGGGGAAGAGGTAGGAGAGCGCGTGGAGGAGAGCGGGAAGAGGGGAGTGGGAGGAGAGCGCGTGGATGGGAGGAGAGTGAGAATATAGGGAAGAGGTAGGAGCGTGCATGGAGGAGAGCGAGAAGAGGTAGAAGAACGCGTCGATGGGAGGAGAGTGAGAATACAGGGGAGCGGTAGGAGCGTGCATGGAGGGGAGTGAGAATACAGGGGAGAGGTAGGAGCGTGCATGGAGGAGAGCGAGAAGAGGGGAGAGGTAGGAGAGCGCGTGGAGGAGAGCGCGTGCATGGAGGAGAGTGAGAATACAGGGGAGCGGTAGGAGAGCGCGTGGAGGAGAGCGCGTGCATGGAGGAGAGTGAGAATACAGGGGAGAGGTAGGAGCGTGCATGGAGGAGAGTGAGAATACAGGGGAGAGGTAGGAGCGTGCATGGAGGAGACGAGCGTGAGATGACAAAGGGGAGGAAGACACGGGCGAGTCGGCAAAGCATCTTGAAGATGGTGAGTGCAATGATTTTGAAGATGATCCGGCACTGGATTGCGTGCCAGTGAAGGGATCGAAGGCGTGGGGGCGATGTGACCTTAATAATTACGGGTGAAGTTTGAACGTTTGGGTTGGCAGCATTTTTGCAATGCCCTCGTCAGTTTAAACGCCACTGCGCTTGCACCTGCTGCGGTCAAATTCGCTACGCTCAAGCCCACGCGGCCTGGACTTGCTCCTCCAAGCCGAAATCCGACGAAAATCGCCTGCCATTGGCGTTACTCGCAGGAGAAAAGTGGGCGGAGAAGGAAAATCGGGCCATGAGCTGCGAACCCTACAGATCGGCCCGTGCGTCACTACGAACAAAAGCCGTGCTGCAAACAGTGCGCATTCACATGGCCTTCTATGACTGGGGCTTTTAAGAGACAAGGTTTAACAAAAAACGCCATTTATTAAAAGGATTGCCTTTATGCTTGCCTTGAGTGTATTGTTTGTAGAATATGCGATTTCTCTCAAGGACTCGCGGACTGACATTCGCGTGTAGTTGCGTAAATGCCGGCTATTTTTAAATACAAGTCGTAAACATCTCAAATGATTTGGCGTGGTGACTCAGACCCGTGTATATATATTTTTTTGTTATTACTCCCAATAATCTTTTGTTTTTTAAGGCCGTCATCATTTACAATGGTTGCACTAAGCCCATTGAATATTACTGGTCATAATAATCATCATCATCAAGACGCTTGCATTGCCACCGGTGTACCGTGAAGGTTTAGAAAAGCAGGAATCCTCTCAGGCAGTGGTTCTTAACCTGTACTGCAGCCTTGCACCCCCAAGCTTCTCAGTCGCAATGTTTTATATTGTTAATAAATACATCGGTTTGATGAAGCTAAGCAGTTGTACTAACGTGCCCGTTCTTAATTTGCGCTTTCGATTAATTAGCTTCTTACAAAAATGTGGCCATGCCTCGCACCGCCAGAAAGGGCATCTCGCACACCCAAGGGGGTGCGTGCACCCCAGGCTAAGAACCACTGCTCTAAGGGATACACCTCCTGCTTCGTTAGCAGACGTTGCGCGAGAGGAATTGCAAACGGGGATTAGGACGCGGCGTGGAAGCGATTGGGGTCAATGAGAACGGCCTATGAAGAGTGACTTGAACAACAGAAAGTCAACGGTCAGATTCGCCTCTCGACAAATATTCACGTTTTGTCCAAGCGCTGTTTCAAACGCTGTCGCGGTGTAGCGACGGGCGGGCGCTCTGGACTTGCAATCTAGCGGATGCCGGTTCGACTCCATGTCCCGGCTCGGAAGTTTAAACAATGGTGGAGCGGGGGGGGGGAGTTTCTTAAATCCCGACCTCGCACCGCCTCTGTCCACCTGGCAGTGGACAGAGGCGCTACGAACCCGGCGACCCGAGTTCGGCCACCACCGGTGACGATTATTTCAACCGCTTCTGGGCCTCCCCTAGGTCGACTCAGCCTCAAACGAGTAACTGCTGTGGTGTGTGAACATTGCCACTGGGGAGACAAACGCGGCCGGGCGTGGTGGATCCAAGTCCCGGGCGAAGCCGGGTAGTACAGCTAGTTACTAATAAACCCCAATGATCCGATCGAAATCCCTAATTTCGATCGGATCATTGGGGGGGGGGGAGCACGTGCCACCCCCCCCCCTCCCACTGGCTCCGCCACTGCCTTTATCTCTTGCACCTTTACTCAAACTTTGCCAATGCTCGATCATCCAAAACACAATTGGGGGGGGGGGGGGATTTACCAAAACACAACGTTTTTGGTAATTTTGTCGAGATGCATTATGACGTCATATCTGTCCACGTGGCATCGGGCAACGAAGGGTCTCTTACCGTTACGCCAACCTGGGAAGTTAGCTGCGGTCCATAAAATATTTCAACCAGGGTAGAGGCTCAAAAAACAAATCAGCGTAAACCTGACACAACCACGTTTAGAGGCGTTTTATCCACGCGATCTTGCACGGATGTTGGCAACAACAAACCACGTGTTTTTGTCAGGCCCACCCCCCTCCATGCAGTGAAACGCGCCAAGACGTTTTGGAAAGTTACTGCCGAGCGGCACGCAGCCATCCTTCTCTCAAATGACGCTCGCTCGCTCGTTCGTTCGCTCGCTCACTCGCTCCCGCGCACGACGACCACAGTCCAGCGACGCAAAGGCGGAGGAACAAGTTGTGCATTGTACCGCGGGCCCCATTGCAACCCGCAAGCAGAGAGATTCATCTCTCATGGAACATTTTCCAGGGCTGCCCAACCCACCCCACCAACCCCCACCCACCCACCCACACCCCTGCCCGCTCCCTCCCCCGAGGGGTGACTGGATGCGACGTTCATCGTATGAGCGCATTCCATTGTAAAAAAAAAAGTTCGCAGATTTTAAATTGTCGGCGCACGCGTCGTTACGCGTTTGCTATGTGCGCGTCGATCGACACCCGTGGGCGAATCCTTGGCGATGAGAAGTTCCATCTGAGGGAGCTCGCCAGCTGTGACGCGATATCGTTGTTGAGAACGTAACTCCTCCTTAAAAAAAAATAATGATGCCCGGCTCAGGACACCATGCGTCGGGGAACGGGAACGTTGACAACAATAACAACAAACGAACAACACGTGGAAGGAAAAGCCGAGAGCGCGCGAAGACGCGTGCGAAAGTGCGCGCTTGAGAAATGGCAGCGAAAGAGACGGAGAGAGTGAAGACGCGGGTCGGAGGACGTACAAGAGTTCAGAGACTTCACATTGACTGTGAAGGAAAGTAGAGCGCGCTTTGGCAGCACCATTCGCAAGGGAGAGAATAGTGGGGGGGGTCATGTGGGGTGCTGCGGTGGCGAGATGTTAACTACCTCGCCTGGTATACAGGGGGTCGTGCTTTGGATCCCGACCCTGACACCTCCTGTATATTTGGAATTCGCATGTTCTCTCCGTGGTCACGTGGGTTCTTCTCAAGGTCCTCCGGTTTTTCTAAACCACATTTAGAATTCACGTCACGCGTTCAGAGAATTTGGCTGCAATAAATGTCTATACGTGAAACGCCACTCCGTTGAGCTATCGTTTGTGGTTTAGTTGAGCTTTGAGTTTTGCATGAAGAAACGCAGAGCACTCGTTGCTCCAGACAGCGCAAATTGACCAGCATCCTCCTCTAAGAGTCTTGAGACTCGCGTCTGAGTAAACAGCTGTGACGACAATAATAATGATACGTAATAATGTATTTCCACGGACATTTCTAAGGCTTGAGATTTCTGCTGCGTCTCGGCTCAGTTTTGACCTCATGTCTCCTCTTGCTATATGAGCCTAGATAACAAATAATCAGACCTTTTGGAAAGTCCACTGTGGTGTACAATGCAATTCCGCTACGATTGGCATCATCAGCATTACGTTACTTTGCAGGAATGGCTGCGACAATCGCAGCTCCCCCCCCCCCCCCCCACCTGATTGTTGAGAATTCAAACAAATAACGGTAATCTTTGGTTCTATTCGGTAAAGTCACGTAAAAGTATAAAACAACAAAAATAAAAAAAATACAAAATTCACGACGTTTCGGCCACAACACAAGTGGCCTTCATCAGCTGAAGGGACCAGACTGTCTCGAGGACAGCGCTGGAGTGAACACAGCCAAGCTCAGACCGCGACCTTTAAGCTGTGTGAGAGGAAGCAGAGCGCCTTGACAAAGGAATTAGCATAAAAATTAGCATTTAATTGGCGGACTTAGCATGATGAACGGTGTAGAGAGGGGGAACATGTGCAGTCTGGTCCCTTCACCCGATGAAGGCCACTTGTGTTGTGGTCGAAACGTCGTGATTTTTTTTATTTTTGTTGTTTTATACTTTTACGTGACTTTACCGAATAGAAACCAAAGAGTATGGATCCTTGGCAGTCACGAAAGCTTCAAATCTAGCATAAATAATGGTAAGGCCACATATAACTCGAGGTGTTGTTCACAATATATATACAACGCGTTTTCGCTGTCACGCGCACCGCTCTAACGCGGAACGCGCACGGTGCTCAACAGGACACTTTTTCTTCAGGAACGCCTCTGCCGCATACGCTGCGAGGGTGCTGCCGTGCAGCTCTCCTGACGCAAGTCGTCCGGGTTGTACCGCCGCAAGTCGTCCGACGTTTCGCGCTGGGGGCTTCTTCGAAAAATTACGCCGCTTCCCTCCT